TTAGAATCACCTTTCGCATTAGGGCGTTTGAAACGAAAATAGTCTTGCTTCGCTTTGTTGTAGTTGCAATTTTGTTACTTCAAGACAGTGGGGGTGGGTGGTAATTGGATTCTCGTCAAGCTTATTTTCCGCTTGTTAGTTTGGGGTACACTTATTTCCCACATTGTGTCTACAGATGTTTTTTGGACTGCATTGTCAATTTTCTGGTGTTTGTTTCGTCATGGGTGTGTAATTTTCTCAGTCTAGATAAAGTAAAATTCTGGCATTGATGTGATCTTGATCTTAATTTTATGATTTTTGCAGGCCTATGAACTTACAAAGGCGGAGAAACCGAGATTTCCTGGGTGCTTGCACCAGGCTTGAATTCATTCTGATTCTGATTTTCAAGCTAAGAGTAAGAGGAGAAAAGAGTGGGGGCTTGGCCCTTGCGGGTCTTGCTCTCGCTAGCGGCATATACCAGCGGGCTCCCGGTTAGGGTTTTTCCTTTGGAGTCTGATATGGAATGATTTTGAGCAGCGGTGATGTAAAAGAGAAAGAAAAGAACAAGGGGTGTTTTGCCCTGCTGCATATTTCCTGAGCAAGAGTTGCTTTTTTTTTCCCTTGCTCTAGTGGATGCATTTTTTTCTACGAGATGTTTAAAAGTTTTGTGGAGAGATGCAAGGAAATCAGGGTTGTGCACTTGACGTACTAAGTAGACAATGGCTTTGTATGTGTTTTCGCCGCTGATGTTTTCATATTTAAACGGAGAATACGGTCGTAGATCTCTGAATTGGTGGCGAATTTATGGAAAATATGTTGATGCTTTCGCTCTGCCAGAAGATGTTTTGGAACTACTCTGATATGCGTCCTCAAGGCGCCAAATTTCTCGCCAAATATTTTTTGGCGAGAAACTCCACGCTACCATATTGCTATCTAAATTTTTTGTCTACATTTCGAACTTTAAGCCTAAAATGTCTCCAAAAACCACGTTTTGAACACACAATTTAAGCTAAAAATCCGAAACAAAAACAAAAAATTTAGATAGCAAAACCATGAAGTTTCTAACCAAAATTATTTGACAAGAGTCCATGTACACAGCGATATGTTTTAACTTAAAAAAACATCTACGAATGGCACCATCTAGGCAACGAACGAATTTACGAACTACGCACACCTCGCTTTAATAAATTAACATAACAACAATAAATTTCAAAGAATACCATGTACATAGCGTTCTGTTTCAACTTTAAAAAACATCTACGAATTGCACAATTTAGACGGTACGCACTAATCAACAAAATAACTAAAATAAATTTCAAACAATTCAAAAAAACAACAATAACGACAGAAATTCATACTAAAAAAAACAATGAACATAACATTCTACAAAATAAGAACAAGAATAAAATAAAATGCCCTTACCATTAATGCTTTTTCGAACAACAGAAATACCAATTTCAAACCGCCTTTAACATACCGCCACGTAATCACTATCGTATTTATATGACAGCCAGACACACTATCCAGAAAATTCATACTATGGTTCACAAATAAAATAATAAAAATCACAAATCCTTACTTCTATCACGCACAGCCACTAAAAATAATCTCCCTGACCCTCTTGTAACCATGTCTCTCATTGCAACATAGGCCATTTTCAAAACTCGCACAACACGAACCAACAAGCAAAACACTCCAGCAAAATAGTATTCAACGTCAAAAGAGTTGCCATACAACACACAATCACACCAAAAACCAGCGCAAAACACATATAGCCACATTTGGTGATCTTAGGATACATATAAGAGCCCCTTCTACCAATAGCTTGTACACATGCAACACTTAGACAAAAGAACAAATTTAAAAGTAACAGAATATATATTTCTCATTTAAAATAATAAGATGTTGCCAGAAATTTATATTGCAAAACTTTTGCTTTTTTAATTCTTTATCAAAATGATTCTAAAAATAAGTAAACATTCTCTCTATATGAATATAGATTTTAAATCAATAATGCATAGCACTGATTTAAAACAATATTAGAAAGCAACTAACACATGTCAGTTATAACTATATTAAATTAAAAAAATAACAAAAAGAAATTTAGTTTTCAACAAAGCAATATGAAAAAGCCTTCTTTATATCAGATATAACTTCAGTTTCTTACTGGTTGAAAATTCATGAGCACTGACCGAATTTGTTTTAAATAGTTAGGTCCCTTCGATAAAAAGAGACAGATTTCTTTTCACTTGTTTGAAGGATGAATTGAACACAAGATGGATCTCTGTTGTGGAATGCCACAGTGAGGCAAATAGTGGTCTGGACCTTCTACATCTTCTTCAATAATATCATCAGACAACCACTCTTTTGAATACTCCATCAAAGGCATTGAATTTATCATCTCTTCCTAACCTCGAAGTAAGAAGTTTAAATGAAGCTCTGCCCCTTCTCTGTTACTTGAGAAGTCCACTTCACTTTCTATTCCAGAAAAATTAATTTCATATCTTCCATTGTCATTAATATGAACAGTCTTTCTAAAATCATGTAAAGCAACTTGCTCTAACTTTTCTTTATTCTTCCACTCACATAGATCAATAATACCTATCGTTTTGAGATTCCACGAATTAGAGATATCATGACTTTAAGCAAAACATCACTTCAAAGGGATATGACACTATGCTTGACGTAATTCTCTTCAGCTTTTACCATTACAAACCATCCCAAATGTGTCTTCATTACAACGAGTCAACATTTGAACCAACATGTCGATCTAGCAGAAAGTTTTCCTGAGTAATCATTCCCTACCAGCACTTTGGGTGTAATATGAGGAGAATTGATCCCATATTGTGCAGCAGTATACTATTTTCTTGAAACTCTTTTAAACAAATCCCTTCTTTCAATTTCGCTACAGTGTCACAAATTACGGGTTAGCTTAAAACTTTCATTTTGCAGGAATATTCACTGATCAATCCATTAAGTTTCAAAGCTATTAAGGATTTCTTCTCAAAGTAATATCCTCAAACACAGTATTATTTAAAAACTCTGACTTTGTTGGTTTTAACCCAAGTTTTCTAACCACTGAATTCAGGATACAAGACCACTAGGGTAAGAACTAGAACCATTAGGATAACATAAATGGATCTTGCATTATGAAGACTACTTTTTTCTTAGCACAACGGGCATTAGCCTAGAAGGACTATTAATTTTGTTTTAGCTTTGATTCACTAGAAATGTCGGTTCACTTTTCAAATTTGCCCTGTGTTATATTTAAAGAAATTAAATAATGAAGAATCTGCATAAATATATGTATGTTTCTTGCATTGGGTTAAAACAACGGTACCTACAACCATCAAATTTTGAATAACGTAAGTCTCCACCGAATAGGGGCATCTGGAAGCCCTAATTTTAAATTTATTTTAGTATCGATTTGATATTTTGTAACACTTTAATGAATTTTTGATTAACAAAGTCAATGATTTTAAAGTGAGCAATGGCAACGTTGTACAGAAAAAACATTTTTATCTCCAATGCATGTGACAGTGTATCAGAAATTCTAAAGATACGCTCAATTTAAAATTATTTTGTGATATTGCTTTTGAATTTAATTTTTATGGTTTAAGTGCAAAGAACATGATATTTAATAAATAAAGGGAACACGCAAAACGTTAAAAAAGTCCCTTTGGGTGTAATGTAAAATCTAAAAGCTTTCAGACTTTTTTTTTCCTTGTAATTTTACTTTCAGACACCATCTCTTCCATTCTTAGGAATGGATATTTGTACCAGTTACCATATGAAAAAAATTTGTGGAGTGATTAACACTCTGATGCACATAATACCCATGCCTGACTAAGATAGAAACTGTCACCCATTCATCAGTCATAACAGTTGGTTCTATTACCTCATGCTTTCTTAATCAGCAGCATCAGAATTTCTACTGATCTATTGTTAGCTGTAAACATGTGTTCCATGAAGGCAATAATCTTTCTGAGACGCAACACTGCAGACAAGTATCTGTCTCCTCCAGCTTCCTTACCTAAACGAAATAATTACATCTATTCATTGTTAAGATAAGCGTCGAACAAAATACTCGTGAGTAACAGAATAAATTATAGTGCAGAGGTGACCAAGGAGTGCGATGCTACATCATGCAAAATCATGAACAGCAGTGTAAGGAACAAAACAATGTAAGAGAAATGATTGTTACATCCGAATATGCGAGTCCGTCAGATAATCAGGTTTCAATTATTACGCTATTATTGGTGGTGTTTACATTTACCGGGTTCTTTGCGGACTGCTTCCATATTGTTATCCTTATATAACAATAATACCAGAAAATGCCTCTAATTACAATGGAATTGCTTCCAAGAAGTTGCGAAGAGTCAAAATGTTTCAAAAAAGGTACTTCATAAGCACATCAGACGTTTTAGATGCAATGTTTTCATGACTCTGTTCATGCGCATTGATTTATTAGTGCATAAAAAAATACATGACGATTATGATCAACAACGCGTAAACAAAATTACATGAGGATCTGCAAAAGAATGGGATGCTGGGGCTCGTAAATTTATATAATTAAAGGGCCAACAGTAATAGAAAAACACAGAATAAAAGCAATTAAATATAACACATATAAATAACTTACCGCCATGAAAGCTGAATAGCTTGTTAATGATAACAATATAACTTCAATATTTACAGTATTGAAACGGAAAAAATAAGTAAGCACTCTATCAAGTTATACCATGATACTTTTTGAGTTTCGTGCCCAAAACAAAAACAATTCGTAAATACAATAAATTGTTGCCATTCGTTTCTGAGAAACATTGAACAAAAATTAACTGTAGAATTTATAATTTTAGTTTTTAAAGAGAAAGCTTAAAATACTTACTTAAGAATATGAAACCTTACTTAACTGCTTAATATGCATTTAAAAGATTGCATATTTAAATTAATGGAGTTTGAAAAAGTATTAACTATTTCTACAGTATCAGTGCTGCAAAGTTTAACCGTGACTGCCATAATGAAAATAAAAACACATGGTAATTAGCGTGGTAACTTCAAGATTAAGATGAAGTTTTCTTTCAAAGTAAGTTTATCTCTTTTATTTTTGATCTGATATTTTTTATCCGAGCTTAGCGGTGTTCGCCCCCGGGTTTGAGCACTAACTGTCAAGAGCTGGTTATCCAAAAACTACCTCATACTATTAGTGTAAACATATTTAATTTAATCGTTTGAAACAGTCTTTAAGATTAGTTGGTAAAAGTTTGATTCCTGGCACCGATCTTGGATCAAAAAAGCATCGCCAAAAAACAAGGGGCACAGAACTGTAAACTTTTACCATCCTTTCTTGCTAACTTTACGCGTTTAATATGTTTCTTTAATTTGGTAAAAATCCTAGTATACGGTAAATATCTTGCAACTTAACTATACACCGCTAAAATCATGGTCGATTAGCCATTGGCGATTTCCTACCACAGTAGATGTCCAGAAATCCGCAAAGCTTGGGACCAGAGGTAGTGCGGATTTCAGGACAGAAAAGATAAATCATAATATTCAGACTAAAAGTGCAAAATAAAATAAGGCACACTAGATACATTTAATTACATTACATTAAATACACATCATTATTACATATAACCCCCACTGAGGCTAATCTTTGGAATATGGTAACAGGTAGTTTGGCGACATTTTGGTAAGGCGATAAAGGTTACTAGCTAGGACTTTAGCAGTGCACATGGATATAGTCAAGAGTGTGCACAATGCCATTTTTGTGCAATTCTGAGATTTTTTTTAAGTGAAAATAGGTCAACGTGTACATGGATGATACCGTGTATGTGCAATTCGTAAAAATGCTGCAAGCAGTGGGCGATTCTGCACTTTGTACAAATTTCGCACCTAATCTTCGTCATGATTAAGCACTTTTGTTCCATAAAAGTTCTAGCATAAGCGTAATTTGGCTAGCAGATTGTTGGAAAAAAATGTTGAGTGAAAAAAAAAAAAAAAACATGCCTTTACTTCGTGAAAACATAATGGCATCCAAACAAAAACTAGCAGGGTTGGTCACCAAATTTTCACCAAAAAATCGTCAAGTCACCATAATTCAAAGATTGACCTAAATGGGCTATATTATTCATTGTATTATATGTACACAGCATCGAGGTTTGCCGATTTCGCTGCGTGCAAAGATTTCCGGTGTTAGAATCACTATTGCTGTAAAATTTCAACAGCTTTTCTTTATTTTTCTGTGTATCATACGTAGTTGTATTGCAATTCTATATGATTCTGCTGTAAAATGCACATATCTCCATCATTTGCAGAATTTGCATTACCGTCAATGCAACATGTTTACGTTTGTTAACATGTTGCAAGCAGTAAATCATGAGTGTGTTTCTTATCTGTAATTGTATTAAAAAGGGCTGAAATTTAAAAATTCCTATTATCCACAAAATATCCGGATTAAAAAAAGGCAGCACTAAATAATCTTGTGAAATAACAAAGCTTAGAAAATACAACAACGTGAATCGTGAACTTGAAAGAAGAGTTGAGTGAATCGTCTACTTTCTTACCTCAATACACAGATTAGAGGAGAAAAAACTTTTATCATGATGTCAATAATTTGGTATTTCTGTTATGATTCATTATTATTTGGTAATTATGACGTCAATATTGGGTAAGTATTTTTTCTGCGATGTTTCGTACTCAATATTGCAGTTTCCGGAACCTATAAACTGAATGTTTATATTTTGAGAGGCAATGCGGATTTCAGGTCGGCGGATTTTCAGTATTTAATTGTATAATGAATTACAGTTGTGGTCTTTTCACCTAGTTGTGTACCTGTACCAACATCTTACTCTCAACCTTTGCCTTTACTTTGATGGCAAGTTATTGCTGTTAGTTTAAACTTTCCGTGAAAACAACAGACACGAAAAATGTAAAATATTAACTTTACTTTCTTCTCACTTGAGATTTAGATTTAATTTAAAATATTACTAACACAAAGGCTCCTTGATTTACAGAATCCGGCTGGCAGGTATAATAGTTTAACTTGGCTGTTAACACCAATATTTCTTCTTGGTGCTGTTCCTCATTCCACTTAAATATACCACATCATTATTTATTTAAACTTCTATGTAGACATCTGAGTCATTATTGAGGTGAACTGGACATTTAGAGAAATTATATTATTTTTATCAATAATAGGAGGGCTTAAATTCAGCTAAAGTATACTAGATCGTGGCAGTAGTTACTTCACAGCTTTTAAGTGAAATTGTAATTCTAGATGGAGAACTGGTACATTAAAACTTTTAAGTGAGATTGTTATTCCAGATGAAGAAATGACTAAGTTCTTGTATTTTCCATCGGCTTACATTTGTTTTCTCGCTTATGGTTTTCAGTTTTTATTTTCAAATGTCAGTTACTAAATATTAGCAAAATTATTGTATTTTTATTTCATATATGCTACTAATCATTGTTTTAAAACCCTGCTTGTTTTCAAAATGATAATTTAAAATATTTTTAATAAAAAATATAGTTTATTCAGAAAGTTCTGAAATTAAACTCATAGAAGTATTTGGACGCTTTGAATAAGCAGTTTATATGTAATAAAAATGTTAAAACAGAATATCCATACTTCGTTAGATATCCTATAGCTAAAATTACACTTTCATGTGCTTTGGCATGGATTTAACTGCATTTTTTAATTAAGAATGTTCCATTCTTGCATAAGAATTGCTTTAACCATCTCAGTGTTACAGCCGTAAAATTCCATATAGAAAGTTGGCTTCCATATTCATTATACATGAAAATTTCTGCTAGCTTTTATATCTGATTTCGGTTTGGATGTATATTGGAAGAAAAGGAATCAAGGTACAAAATGAGAGAATCATATTTTAATTAAAATTGAGAAAATACCATTTATTCATGACATTTTGGGGAACTTTGAAATTTCAGGGCTAAACCCATAACGCTCGAAGGGTTAAATAGAACTTCAAAAAGTGTCATGTTTATTTATGCTTTTCTGTAACTCACTCCACACATGTTCAACATTAAGTCCAAGGAATATGGAGGAATTTTGATAACTTCACTGCAGTTGTGTAATGAAGATTTAGGGACAAGTTTAAGATGCTTAACTTATAGATCTTGAATATACTTTGCATTCTAAATTTTCTTGTGGATGCTTTCATATTTTCATTAAGAATACATGTATATTTATACTGATCCATATTATTTTATGTAAAAAGTAAATTTTCATCCTAGAAAAAAAACTTAACAAAATCAGTATGCTTCCACATTCATGCTGAACATCAGTCGATAGGTTTTTTACGGTTCAATTCTTAATTTGACTTTCACCTCGCAGCAGTCCATGCATTGTATCCAAATATGTAAAATTTTAACTCATTTACAAATATAACATTATATCAATATGATAATTCCTTGCTTATGGTGGATTTTGTGAATGTAAAGTGTATTTTCATTGTTTTCTTTTTGACAAAGAATTTTCGTCTTGCTAATCGTCCATGATGTGCTTTAATAACTCCTCTAATCTTTTTCAAGTTTTACAGCACTAATTTTTGGATTTTGTTTATTTTTCATAGAATAATTCTATGATTCTTTTGTGATAGCATGAAATGTTGCCTAGACTAGTGCATTTTGAACCATTCTATAAGATTGAACTTTATGTAAATTTGTAACATCCATCTTGCCATGTTCACTTCAATTATGGAACTACTAATATATATTTTTAATAATTCCCAAATGCAGATGATAATTCTTATGATGTGATTTTATTTAAAACAAGAAAAATCTTCCAAAACATCTCAGCAAAAATTTCAAATGTCAGAATTTTACAAATTAATGGATTAACACTTTTGCCATAAATTATTTTATGGCAAAGAATAGTTTGATGGTGTTTATTTTATTACAAGCAGGTCTTGACTTAAAGAAAAAATAATATAGTATTAGGAAAACATTTGGAATCTATATTTCAATATTTAGTGCAAAATCTCTGGAAATAAATTTCAAAGATACAGATGTCCGAAAACAAATACAAGCCATTCTAGTTTATTATTTAACTATTTCTGATTAGTTAATTTACTATTATTGTTATTATTTTATTTTTATTTTGAATTACTGATTATTTATTTTCTTACTCATTTTGCTCACCTTAATTGTAGTTGTCCATTAGGCTTTAGCACTTTTAATTTTAAAAATTAAGCCAAAGGTCAAACTCCAACCAGACATTATCTAAACTTCAGAAATTCAAACCAAAATAAAATTACAAATGTGCATTTCTGAGCCTGTACTCTTTATGACAATATTGCAACATTTTTATATGTGATTTTGTCAGAACATTTTAGGCAGATTTGCCTGCACCTGCTTGTTTTCATTAATGTCCTTAATGCTATTTTCAGCGTTAAATTATTACAAAAGCAAAGAAACCTAAGACTTTCATGTCATTTCAACCCACCTTAGTACAAATCACCCAAGTTTCAGAATGTGCCACACTCTAGCAGTTATGCAAACAACAATTCTCTAGGTAATCATGCACATGACCATACTTTGGTGTTCACAAACGTCACCATTTTGATATGTCCACCCCCCTGTATTCCTAATTCCAGTGGATTTTATGGATAAATCGTGATTATATTGATTAATCTTTGGATTATGGTAACTTGGCGATTTTTTGGCAAAAATTTGGCAACCAACCCTGCTACAGCAACCTCCTTTTTTTTTCGGCGCAATTTTGTCTTAACGAAGTAAAGAGAGGTTTCTTTTTTTATTTACTCAACATTTTTTCCAACAATCTGCTAGCCGAATTACGCTTATGCTAGAAATTTTATGGAACAAAAGTGCTTAATCATGACGAATATTAATGTCCAACATGTGGAATTGGACAAAAATTGGGAGAAAGTGCAGAATCGCAAAACTCCTTGCCGCGTTTTTAAGAATGGCACATACATGGTAACTATGTACACGTCGACCTATTTTCACTTAAAAAAACATCCCAGAATTGCACAAAAATGGCATTGCGCACACTCTTCACTTTATCCATGTACACTGCTTTTTTCTCATAAATTAGAAAATTTTGTGAATCTTTAAAGTCAGTAAAAAGGACATATATGAAATTATCTGATCCCGAAAAAGTATATAGCCTTTCCAAGGATGAACATTTGCACGCATAAAATAAATAAAATATCCAAAAACTTTTCCCTCTAAATTATCTATTATATTGTAAACGTCACCAACGAATTCATACCGCAAACATTACAAATGGTTACAAATACTTAGTGTCAAATATTTAAATTATTTCCATGCACGTTTACTTCCACTGAAACGTATACCAAATTCTACAAACATATAATTCACAAAAACTATCATTTAAATTAAAATATAATTAAAATTCCAAAAAATACTTAAAATATAAATAAGCACATACATTAAATTAAAAATTAGCTTACAATCTTAATTACTTTAAACTAAATCATTGCTAATAACAATTTGCCAATAATAGCATATTAATTTATTTATTCCTTATATTTAGAACAATGCATAAAAATAATATCCTCAAATGATTAAAAGTACTAACTTACCTAATCTTCTACAGAATCTTGAGTGCATGGCGGATCACAAAATGTCCCTTTTCACCAGATTTCTTGCACTGCCATTCAAACTTATCTGTAATAGCCTTCCTTTCACACAATCTCATTTCATTCCCACATGTTGGACATTCATACTTATCCGCAATTAATCCTACACTCATACACCATTCAAGCAATTCTTTGGATTACACAATATGCAATAAAATTTGAATTTACTTTACATAGGGCCATGGATCCAAATATTAAGCAAAAAAAAAAAAAAAAAAAAAAAAAAAAAAAAAAAAAAAAAAAACTGTTTCACACAACATAGAATGAACCTAATGCTATAAAGTACTGCAGATATTTTTGCAAATTTCCCCCTTTTTCCGATTAAAGAACTGTGATTCATCCGTAAATGTCACATGACATATCTCATGATCTCTCATTTCTCTCAGACAAAATGATCCGTAATTGGAACTGGGTACTTCACACATTATTGCCAAAGTCCTAGGTAGTAACCTTTATCGCCTACCAAAATGTCGCCAAACTGGTTACCATATTCCAAAGAGTAGCCATTATATTTTGTCTTAAAATTCAATTTTATAATATATATGTTGGTGGAATTTGCCTTCATTGGAAGAAGGTCGGATGTAATTTCTGCAGAAATGCAGTATTTTGCTGCAAAATTGATGGAGGAACAATGCTTTGAATCTCTTCTGATCAGCATGAAATTTCACCAGGGCTCACAAGTGGCTGAGCAGTAATGTCACTGAACAGTGGTGGTTGATCTGGGTTTGATTCCAGGCAGACAGGCTGCATGGGCTGTTTCATATTTTGCTCAAATGTAATATGCATATGAGTCAGTTTCCCTTAGAAAGTCCTCCACAAAAGCATCCCTCCCTTTTTCACAAATAGCCCTGATGTGCTTTGCCATCATCAAATAAACCAAGCCATAAAAGTTACCAAACTGCACCAAGATGATTGCACTAATACATGAGTATGCCAAAAGCACTATTAGACAACACATGGTGGAGAATTAAAAATAGTATTATTGGGCTCTTGCAACAAAATTGCCAATTTTAAGGATAGCTATAAAAAAAAAAAAAAAAAAAAAAAAACGAAGAATACCCATTTAATCAAAGTAATCTCCAACAATATCAATGTTTTGGCTAACATGTGGCAGGATATTTATACCACATTTGTAAAAAATCAGTGCCTCTTCAATTGATAAAGTCCTTCACTGCATGATAAATTTATACATCACTGGGAAAACATTTCATGGACAAAGAATGGTCAACTGTTGGGGAAAATGTCATGAGAATACATAGGATGAGGCACAATTTTATACCCAAATTATTGATTTATTATATGATTAACAGTGTTGTGTGTGATCAGATGTTATCCTAAAGCAATAGGATGAAGCATTTATTACTTCACCTCATGGAAGAAATTATCAAGACATTTCCTTTCATGCCTTTCTATCAGTAAGCCTCATTATCATTATTACCTCCTGAAGCATTTATCATTTTGCATCATGGAAGAAATAATTTGTGACTAACACCAGCAGAAGACTAACACAAAGTTAGCAACATTTTGGATTCCTTCCTGGAGCATTTTCTCTGCTAGCCTTTGCAACAAATATGTATGATTGTCATAGAGTAGGAACTTTCCATCCACAGTCATCATTGGAACCTTTCTTCTGAAAGAAGAAAGTTCAAAATGTCATGTTTGTTTTCATTAGTGTGAAGCATTCAATTTTTGAGCTGCTTTAATTTTCCTGTTATTGCTAAGTTCCATGAAACAATCAAAACGTGTACATTTAATGTATAGGTGATCTTGTATATAGTTTGTTAAGGATCTGAGTTTATAAAGTCCTTTAATTCATCCAAACCAGTGTTTTGAACTCATAAAGGTATACCAACCTTAATTGAGAAGATTCTGTTATTACTTGATGTTGGTAGTATTCAATGTTTAATGCTTGTTGAACAAAACTTATATTACAGTTACATCACCTGAAAATTGTATTCTTTTGAATGTCTATATAAAATCTGATATATATTCCTATCTGTTAAATATTTTTAATTTTTCTTTGCAGTTTTCAAATTTGCTTGGCACAGTTTACAATAAAGGGAATTTGATATTTACACCTGATGGAAATACATTAATTAGTCCTGTTGGTAATAGGATTACTCTATATGATTTAAGAAAGTAGGTATTTTTTTTTTAATATATCCCTATCATTTGTATATTACATGCTCATATGTTATGTTTAATTATTATACAATCTAATTGTAGTTAAATATTAAATGTGAATAGTTATTTGCAGCTTAGTAGTATAATCAAGTGGTACGATGGTACAAGTTTGAGGTATTTTATTTTAGTGAATATAAATCTTTAGTAAATTTGAATCACTTTTAAATGTGCACAAATGGAGGAATATAACTGGAAAGGATATACTCACCGTTTTTACAATACAATTGTAACAAGCAGTAATTGACTGTTGAGTAATAGACTTGATTATCCTCAAGTAATTCAAATTGTTCTATTTAATAATAAACTGGGCTCAAGCTCTTTCAGCAATGTATAGTAGCTTTGCCAAATACAAATTTTTGGCATTTCATATTCTTGTGTTACTCTGTAAATTTAACTATTTCTTTAAATTACTGCAGGTTGTACGTGAAATTAATTTAGTAATGTTGAACCTCAGAAGTACTTTCCTTTTTTTTTGATTATTTTAATTAGGAACTTTCTATTAAATTACTTCCATATTAAGATCTTGACAGCAATTTAAGCTAAGTTCTGCCTCTTTGAAATTATGCAGGCCAGTCAATAGTAATAGTATAACATCTCACTGTAAACACAAGTGTTTCCACACTTCCCAGCATCATATCTTCATTTAGTATTGACATCTTCGCAAGGAATTATATCAACAACAACATACACCAAACTAACTTTCCTAACATTTTTTTGCCTTACTAACATATTTTTGCTTTCTAGCTTATGTTAAGTTTTATCAAATCTGCATAATTTGTAGTTAAACAATGTCATATATTCCATATCTACTAGCATATTCCCCCTTCTTTTATTAATTTTATCATACGAAATTTGGGAGGAGAAAATTATGCAATAATTTAATTTCCAAAGCATGTGGTTATAGCAAGAACATAAAAAATGAAAATCAGTAACTATCACCGTATTACTTAAAAGAAGCCTACATTCCAATAAAAATACATGATTATATTAACATTAAGATATCTAATATCTCTTCATTTCTGCTTACTTGTATCTTATATCTCGCCTTCTTTTATCACAACTACTCTGTAGACCTCAAATAATTCAATGCTGTTAGAACTTTGTCTGTGATGGATGCTACTGCTTGCAAGTTGTCACCTCTCTAATTGTCTTCATTTCCCTTAATGTGTGACAGTGTCCCCATGTCATCTTGAAAACATTAAGATTAGATTTTCATTTTTCTCAGAGTTCTTCATTATTGCTTTATCAATCACAAACCATGCTCTCGAAATCCATAAGCAAATTGATTAATAAAACGAAAACAACCATTGCTGATTTTGTTACATTTGAATTTAAAACTCAAACATAACAAAATCCTCTTTCCACAGTAAATCTATGTAAAGATCCTAGGGTAATTTTGAAATAAATCTTCCATTTTATTTTCTTAATATTCTTGCATTATGTGTGTGAGCTTATCAGTGAATGATCACTTACTGTTATTACTTATTATTATTTTTTAAGGAAAAAAAAAAACTATATGTATTTGAATAGAGCTTCATTTCTTCTAAAACTGGTATTTTTATTTCAGCCATAAATCTGAAACTCTACCCATAGAAAGCAGATATAATTTCACTACATTGGCTCTTTCTCCTAATGGAATGCTTCTTGTTGCAGTTAATGAACGTAAGTAGGATATATATATATATAATTTGTTTACTAAAGAAATATTGATTATATTATCTCCTAATATGAATTTACTAGAAGTATCAAAAAAGAGGGAACCCATATGTAGGAAGTTTAATTCCAAAAGTTGTGTTTTAAAGTAACTTGAATGTAAATTATGAAAAAAGCGTTTAACGGCGACTTGGATTTAAATCATGAATAACAAAATTTCAAACTTTGAAAAAGAAATTAAAAATTAAAAGCAAGTAATTATCTCTGTTGATCAGAAATTAGTTGACTTTTCAAGGGGAACAAACCAACTTTGCAGCTATTGTGCAAGTGTTAGAAAACCTTGTTTTCGAATACAATTTAGTAGATGTATTCATATGTTAAATACCTACATTAACAGACAGACATAATATATTTTTTAATTCCATATAAGTATTTTCACAATACATAAGCATATGGAAGAGAAACATCATAATTTTCAGTATCAAATTAGATGAATGTCAACTTAGATTGATATTGATTTCATGGAAACAATCATTTTCAAGGAGACAAAGCTTTCTATAAAAACAAAGTCTGATTTTTGCCTAATTTTATATTAAATGTCATGATTTTTGAAAAACGTAGTAATAATATTATATAACATTCATTTAAAATTCATCGTATTTTAATTGCAGTAATCTTATGAGGTATGGGTTCATTGAATCACTGTTTAAATAATCTTTCCAGATAAGCAAAAAGAAACTGACAATTTATTTTAAAAGTTAAGGATGCACAGATAAAATATTTTTTGCAAATAGCTCAAATAGCTGATGGATATTAACCATTTCTTCCATAGCGCATGAAAAGTTTCAATAATTCCTAAAAGCACTCACAGATTATATTCTAAAATGAAGTTCAGCTAACTTCATTTTTTTTTTTTTTTTTTTTTTTTTAATGCAGTCTCATAGCTGATTAACGATTAACTTGTACTAACTCTCGGCTTTGTAATCATGCAAAGAGGGCTTCTGGAAAAATTAAAAAAAAAAAAAAAAAAGGTCATGGGGCTTTGAAAAGGAGGGTACTTTTCCGTTTTGCCGGCGCAGGCGATAAAGTTGCTAATAATGGTACAACTGATGCCAAATGGAATATATTCTCCATGGCAACCTTTTACACCTCATTTTCAAAACAAGTCGCAACTTTCTTTCAATACTGGCATTCAATTACATAGAATTTTTACCAGATAGTTCAATTTTATGCCATTTACCCGAAGCCGAAAATATAGAAAACTCAAGGGTTAAATTCATCAATTCTAATGAGAATGCACTAGCGAAGTAAAGCACTGAAGTTTTACATAATTTGAGTAAGCTGTTCGTACGAATTAAAATAATTCTTTCATTTAAACTTGTATTCCAAATTAAGATTTAACTTGAAATTAATATAGATAATTATTGAGAAATTTAGATTTTTGTAGCGTGGTTTATGTGAGATGAGATCATTTGGGGTCACATGATATGAACCGGCGAATCAGGTGTTGAACCATGAAAGCATAGTAAATTCTTAAATTAATGTCATTTTACAAATTCATTGTCTTTATTTATTGGATTTTACAAAATTTTAAATGATATTAAAATGTTTATGCCTTTAAAATAAAAAAATTCTTAGACCTAACATTTGTTAACATTTTTTATCTGCGTACTGTATGTTGTCGCCAATAAAGTCTGCTTGGCGAGATTTGCGCTGGTGCAACGGAAAAGTACCAAAAGGAGTTTTCCTAAAACTCTCAAAAGTTAATAAGTTTATGGGGAATCACCAAATATCATCAGCTTGGTGACAAAAAATGTTGCTAAGATTCATTAGGAGCATATTTGTTAATATTTTGCATTTTGTTTGAGCTATTTTTCATGAATAAGTATTTATATACAAAACATGTAGCCGTATATTTATGTGTACAAAATATACCCTAAAATTATCACCCTAAAAGCAATAAATAAAAAATGCACAAAATTGCAACACTACATAGATATAATAATGCAGTCAAATGAATTGAAATATTTACAATATTTATCATTATTGTCCTGATATAAATCTTAAAACATAGGCTTTATAAAAAGAAACTAAACTGGATACATCTACAATATTTCTGTTAGGCATGCAATCTTTTACGGTATTTTATTCCAAACTTTATCTAATAGATAGACTCTTGTTCCACTGAGATTGCATGCACATTTTGAAGCATTCTGCATGGCAAGTATTCAGACTCATATTCTATTGTGCATTTGGTCATTAGTTATAATTATTATTTTATACCTGTTCATTAATTGTATAAAAAATTTAAAGGTACATACAGTTTTCATGATGTTATTAAATGAAGCTTACTTGGTTGAAAAACTCTCACATTGGACTACATTGGAGGCATAAGCTTACTTTTAAACCATTTGCTTTTCCCTTTTTATTTTTAGATACTAGTTTGTAAGGTATTTCTCCCGCCTTCTAGCGTGCTTTCGGGGTGTAGTGGTCAGCACACTGAGCTGGTATTTCAAAGGTCCGTGGTTCGATTCCAGGCGAAGGCGTTTGCTAATTTTTCATCTCTCTGTCCTCTAAAAAAATCCTAATGTCTCTACAAATTTTCCATAATACTTACAGTAGCATTGTCCATGATATTTGCTGTTTTGTATATCCATAATTGTTATAGAAGACTGCATGCTTAAATGCACTGTTGCTTTTAGCTTGCTTGATATGATTTTTTTATAAAATTTCTTAGACAATATAACTTGTGGCTTACTTGGCTGTTTGATTTATTTCATTGTACTTGAATTTCAAGTTATTAAAGTAAATACATTTTAGAATAGATTTCCTGATTTTTTGCACCCTCAATGAAAAGTTGCAAAAGGTATTCATGGGGGTGATACAGTATGTCACCAAAATAGTTATGTGACACCGATATCCTCAAACAGATTTTATGTGGCAACCCACATATGCACATAGCACATGTCTGTTTATTTACACTTTTGAAATTCAGTTGTAATTTTTCTGATTAGTGCTTATTTTTCCTTTAAGTATATTTGTTTTTGTAGTAACAAATCATAATAGAAGCTGTGGACTTTTTTGGCTGATGAAAACAAAGTGGTGCATTTCTGCAAAAATATGCCATTTTGTCTAACAGTAGAAAATACAAAAGTTTGCATTCTGTGGAGTTAAACTTTTTTAATGACCAAATTTTATGGCTGAAAAATTGTAACTGAAGATAGTTGTATTTTGTTTACAACAGCTATTTGCTTGAGTTTTTATTGGCAGGTGTGCAATGCTGAGTTAGTGCAATTCTGTGATGTTTGTTTGTGGAACTAGATTGCTGTGTACATGGAAAGAATAACACAAACAAATTAAGAAGAATTTCTCAAAAAATTGTTTTATAGAGGTTTCTTGCTTTTTTAATTTTATTGATCAATTGCTCTTATATGGAAGTCTTAGTGAGCTGCCATTTTGAAAGTGACTCTTGCTCTTGTGCTTTAGTCTATCAAAAAATTAATTGCCAACAAGTTTGTAATTCCTCTCCAAAGTCACCAAAGAATTCATGATATTCCGTTGAGGTTGCAGATAATCAGAAAATACTGTTGAAAATTTATGTATGTGCGTATATGTAAATTAACAATTTCAAATTTATTAAACTATGTTTATTTTATTTTCACCCCATTTCATCATTACGCTCTGCCTCCATTACTCAGACCCAGGTCTTCTTTCCTAACTTCCATTTTGTTTGTTTCATAAACCAGCTATCTGTGAAACAATCTGATGTTGTGTTATTATGAATATGATGGAGAATTTTACATAAGTAGTTATTTTATAATTAGAATTACCGTTATAGGGCTTCCCTTTTTTTGGAAGTTTCCTGTAAATCCATTTGGTAAAATTTTTATGAGACATATTCCAGTGTTTCCATATAAAATTTTTATTTAAATAAATAAACAGTCAATTGTTAGAGTACATGGAAGTATCTGTTTTGAAAAGGAAATGTCTCTTTTATAAAAAGTAGTTTTTATTAAAAGGAGAGCCGCTCAGTTCATAAAAGCTGTCAGAGACAGAACTTTTGATATGGTTAAACTCTTACTTGTGAACTATAACATGATGATTATATATGTGGCTAAATGTATTGAATTAGATCATGTAATTCTGAACACTCTAAAAATATATTAGAATTTTATAACCTTTGTAATCTTTTTTTTTTTTTTTTTTTTTAATTTCATTTTTGTGTAATATTGTTATTTTAGCTTTGAAGCATTCCCTTCAAATTTTATATATCTATCATTTTTATAATTTGCAGGGAAATAAGGCAAGGTAAAATTAAATTTATGCAAAAAGCCTTAGTTTGGTATAAAATTTTGAATAAAATTCTGTTGATTTTATAGGCTATGTAACCATTTTCTCCATACGGAAAAGTCCTATGCTAAATTAATTTTGCTTTCTCACCTGGTTTAAAATTAAATGGATATTTATATATTTATAATTTAATTTTTTCCCTGTCCTAGCTGGTGAAGCTTTACTCTGTAGTTTGCCTCATCAAATAGTTATCCATCGTTACCATTTCAAAAGACCTATTGAAGCGGTTCGTTTTAGTCCTAATGGCAGGTAAAATATCTAGTGCTTAATAAATATTTGTTTATTCATTTCTTTTTATATTGTTGTTGAATGGTTGTCTGTTCTTTGTCACTACACATGCAGTATCTATTTTCAGTGTTTGAAATGCGCGTTTACAAAACTTTTTCAAGATCTAGTCAATTTTGATTTATATATCTCAGGGGTGGCCAAACTGTGGCTTGCGAGCCACATGCAGCTCTTTGAAGGATTATTTGTGGCTCTCGATAAATGTATCCAAGTTCCCTTTTCATTTTTGTGTTGTTATATTTTCAAAAATTATTATTTCATTTGTGTTTTAGAATGTCTTTTAAATTAATGACAACAAATATGAAAGACTAAGTGCAACGATGTAACAAATTTTTTTTCCGTCCAAGTTAAGAATGGTATGACTCATCAAAAACTGCGAGAACGAACATAAACAGTGGCGTAACAGTTCCCGTTTGTCGGATTTTCTTCCCCTTCGACTACCTTGTGAATTATAAGAAACATATGGGAGCCAAGGCCTTGTCCGGCCGATTGCTTCTCTACGATCTATGTAATCGACCGACTCCAGACCGATTTTGAATTTGTAAACTTCCATTGCAAAGGACAGTTGACATTGCGCTCTGGAGAAAACAGTTTGTAATCTAGAATTTTTGGTAAGTTAACTATAATTTGTTTCATAGTATGTGACACGTGTTATTGTTTTAATAACACTAAACTTGTATTTCCTAAATTTCTTCATTTATTTCCAGTTCTTTTAAAATATGACGACAGAGAACGAAAATAAAAAACAAAATTACGAGCAAGAAAATAGAAGTTTTAATAATGAGTGGGAGGAAAATTTCTTTTTTATTGACAATAACGGAAAAGCATTATGTGTTATTTATAATTCTACGGTCAAAAATTATAAAGCTAGCAATTTACGTCAAACATTATGAAACCAATCATCCTCGGTTTTCTAATCAGAATCCACCAAATTCCAAATTAAGATCAGGTAAACTTGCTTCTTTAAAATGAAATTTAAATAAACAACAGTCAATTTTGATGACTTTAAGAAATCAAGCTAATAATGTGGCTGAAGCCAGTTTTGTTACTGCCTGGAATATTGTTTGTGCGAAACACCCATATGGAGAGGCAGAGTTTATTAAAAAAAAACTTAGAAGATATATTTAAAGTTTTAGATCCAAATAATGCAGTATTGCACAAAGTTGTTTTGCAAATTCCCATCAGGAGACACACAACCGAATATCAATTGCAAGGACGCGTAACTGCAATTAATACATCTCTTGAATATAATTCAGAAAACGATTTAAAGAACTATATTGCATTCAGCTTAGCCCTTGATGAATCGACAGATATCACAGATCTTCCACAATTGGCAGTTTTCATATGTTTTGTTTCACCTGACTTCGTTGTTAAAGAAGAATTATTAGGTTTAGTAAAACTTCAAGAGTCAACCCGCAGTGCCGATATTAAAAATGCATTAGATTCTATAATAAAGAAATTTTGATGTGCCTTTTAATAAACTTGTAAGCATTGCAACTGATGGAGCTGCGACAATGCTGGGTTAAAAAAAAAAAAAAAAAATTGGTCTTATTGGGCTTTTAAGAGATGATTTCAAATTTCACAATTCATACCGATTCACTGCATAATTCACCAAGAGCATCTCATTGTAAAATATTTAAAATACCCTGATGTTATGAAAACAATGTTACACTTTGTAAAACCAATGCAAAAAAATCATCGACAATTCAAAAATTTCCTTGAAGAATTAAAGGACGAAGAACTTCCAAATGACAATAATTTCTTTTCCATTGTTAGATGGTTATCTAGCTAAAACGTATTAAATTGATTTGTAGATTTGTTTGATTTGATAACTGCATTTCTAAAAGAAAAGGAAATACCTTATTCAGAATTAGACGATGACGAGTGGTTACAAGACTTAATGTTTTTGATTGATGTCATGAAACATTTGCAAACACTGAATTTACAATTGCAGGGAAAAGATAAAATAATATCTGATCTCTCATAGTGTATATTTACTTTTCAAACTAAATTACAGCTTTTTCAAAAGTGCATTAAAAATAAAACATTTTATCATTTTCCTCGACTAAAAAAATTTTTTACAATATTATACAAGAAAAACTCGACGAGTATATAAAAAAGCTAGAAGAAATATTGACGGAATTCCAAAATAGATTTCAAGACTTGAAATATTTTTAATTGTCACTTGATTTTTTTCTGAATCCATTTGTAATTAACATAATTCAAGGTGAGTTTTTTATTTCCAATATAATTCTGACCCAAAAAGCATATGGAAAATTAGAATCAATAGAGATGCAAGGAGATCAAGCTCTACAATTAAAATATAAGTCAATGCCGATTACTGAATTTTAAAAATTTGTACCAAAATCGAAGTATCCTGAATTAAAAAAGGCTGCTTGTCAAATTATTTCAATACTCGGAACAACATACTTGTGTGAATCAATTTATTCCACTTTAAAATTTGTGAAATCCAAACACTGATCACTATTAACTAACCAGCATCTCAAAGAATTACTAAGAAGTATTGTTACCAATTATTTACCAAATTTAAAGAATTATCAAGAGAAGTAAAATAAATGTGTTTAATTTTTAATATTTAATTTCGATACACACATTTTGTACTTCTATTTATATGGTTTCAATAAATATAATTTCAATAAAAAAATTGTAATACTTTTTTTGCATACCATTTAAATATGTATTTAATTGCGGCTCACGAAAAATTTCAAATTTTGAAATATGGCTCGGACTACTAAGGAGCTTGGCCACCCCTGATATAGGTATATACTATATATGTGAGACTGGAAAATGTCTTTATTTAGAAACATATTGCGGAGGGCAATTAATTATTTTATAGCTTTTTCTGTCAGTTATATATATATGTGTGTGTATGTCATCTTATCCTCCTGCATTGTGGATAACTTTCATCCAGAGCTAAAATTTAAACTAAGAAATCAGGTCTTTAAGTATTGCTGATACTATGCAAGTACCTTTTTTCTTACTTTGCTTTGCTTCTCACCGACATACATCTCTTAACTCTCCTGTTTATCACCCTTTGCCAAAAAGATGTAAGCTGTATATGATTGTGGGGTGTGCCCATAATGCATATAATAGAGCACCCATAATAATGATATGTAAACCTGAATAAAACTGTACATTAATCAGCATCACCACTGCTAAATTTTTCCCTTCTCTCTTTTGTCATCTGATTATCTACACTATCCTCAAGTCATCTCGAGAAAATTATCATATACACAAGGTGAATTTTAACAAGTGGGCAAAACTTAAGGGGGTGATAGAAGGCAGCCTATATGAGTAATATTCTTCATAGAATGTATGGTCGGAATGCAAGCCGTGAGAAGTTAAAGGGTAGTTTTCCACTGTCAAATTTAAAGAATTAACACAAGAATGAGAGGAGATACTTCAGAAAACATTTTATTACTAACAGAAATTGCTCAAAAGACTTTCCACCAGCTGTAATGCAGGCTTTACAGCTGCGGGATAGGGATTGATGCCATTTGCGAAGTCACCAGGCATTTCCCGAATATCAATTGCATTCCTGGCAGCAACTAGAGCCAAATCGGTTTCAGTGGGGCACTCATAAATTAGGCTTTTCATATATCCCCACAGGAAAAAGTCCACACACGAGAGATCTAGTGATCTTGATGGCCAAGCTATTTAACTGCCTCAACCAATCTATCGCCCTGGGAACTTTGCATCTAAAGTGTTCTGCACATCTAAGCTGACACATGCAGACATACCATTGTGCTCAAACCACATTCTCGACCTGATGGGTGTTAGAATTGGACACAGCAGCTCCAGCAACACCTCTCGTAGAAATGTATGATACAATTCGCCATCCAGACAGTGTGGTAGGAGGTATGGGCCAGCCAAATGGTCTTGGAGGATCCCCGCCCAAGGAGAACAACTGCTGGAATGAATGAGGATGTGTGGTGTGTGGCATGCAGGTTCGTAGATGCCCATGTGTGTAAGTTGTGGGTATTAAAAACACTCTCACAGGTTAAAGTTCACTTGTCCGTAAACAGAACTTGTGCACTGAAATCTGGCTGTTCTGCATTCTGATGGAGTTACCAACATGCAAAATCGACACATAATGCACTGGTTCTGTGTACAATAGAGGTGTATTCTTTTCTCCTGCAGCACACAGGAAACCATCATTTGCGATAAATTTACAGCATGGGAAACTACTTGCATGCTACATCCCAGTTGATCTTTCAGCCTACACACAATGTCTTCTTCAAATTGTGGTGTCCTGACTCTCCTTTCATGTCATGTCCTTGCTTGGCTGTGGCGAAGGATCCCATTTCACTCAGCTGCTGACGCAAATGCTCGAATGTTTTCCTTTTTGGAATGTATCTCATCGAAAACCGGTCGTCTCTATGCCTAACTTACATTCCCATCCACCACACCATACACGAAGTGCATATCAGCCATTTCGTGGTTCGTATAACCAGTCATCCTCTCAGCAATCCGCAGTAGAAAATGCCGCTGAGTGCAGACCCTTTTATACCATTTACAATGCCACATAGCGGCTCGCCATTTAAGTACCAACCATACATTCTATGATGATTATTGCTTGTATAGCTGTCTTCTTTCACCCCCTAAAGTTTTGCTTACTTGTTCAGATTCACCCTGCATATATATGCAAAATATAAAAAATATGATGGCTTTGCTCCATGCGAACAGGCAACCTCTAATTAACTTTCCGCAATTTCAGGATCTTCCCCTTAGACCAGTACTTTCGAGAACATTCTGGCATGTTATGTAACCACTACTATAAATGTAGATTTCGCACCATTTTTAATCAGTCTGCTTCATACTACCACTGCTACAAGACTGCCCTTCTCTGTCCATTACTCTTTTTTTTGTTAGAATAGTTGTGATATCAAAATCCTAAATTTAACCTTATTTTAATTTAAACCATTATTGGATATCTAATTTAGAGAATTTCATCTAAAAGAATAATGGTCTCCTGTTTGAATTGAATAAAAATATGGATCTATTAAATTTTAATTCTTCTGTGTAATCATTTCTGATGTATCCCACTCCGTCAAACAGCGCAGACTCGGATGCCAAAGGTTTGATCTTTCTTTGTTGTCATTGAATATCGCCTTGCACTCCCAGCCATAATGACTTGCAAGCTGATCCCCCTTCTGTGTTCCCGGAAATATTACACACACATACACATGTATATAGAGAGAGATAGTTAGATAGATAGATTTTGATACTTGCACTTGATTTACATATGCTCTCAGAATTTAAATGATATTGTAGATTAGTTTGCAGCAATAATTAATCATTTATTTGTAATTCAATTCCATTTAAATTTGCTTTTTACGAATAGAGAATGTTTGTTAAATATATATATGTGTGTGTGTGTGTTTGTGTGTATAGAGTCTGTATGGATTGAAGGGATTAAGTCTATGGGGCTTCTTGATTTAGAAAGACATTTTAATGGATCAAAACACATACAACAATACAAGAAAACTAATCGAAAATTGCTGATGTCTTACGTGTAGCTTTTGAGTTTTAATTCCTGCTGCCAGTTCTAAAAAAGCATTCTTAGTAACTCTAAATATAATTAAACTATATTATTCTTGTTTATTACGAAGCCGATTATTTAATTTTTGTCTATCCTCAGTTACTGTATATAATCTACATGTATATAGTATGAATCTAGAGTGTGCCATTCAAAAATTGCTACTGTTATGGGGGCCGGATTCTGAAATATATGAATGTATGCACATATGTACATATGTATGAGTATATATGTGTATATGTATACGCACACATACATTCGTAATTTTTGTTAAAGGTTTGTTTAATGTTTTTATGTTGGGAAATATGTATTTTTGGTTATTTATTCCTCTCTGTTTGTGTATTTTTGGTTATTTGTTCATCTCATTGCGTTAAGACAGCGGCGAATTTTTTCTAATTGTAGTTTTAACTTCCTGATTTTGTTTAAGTGAAAATAGATCGATGTGTACATGGACAAAGTAGTGTGCAATGCCTAGTTTGTGCAATTCTCTGATGTTTTTTTTTTTTTTTTTTTTAAATTAAAATAGGTCGATGTGTATTTGGACACTGGGTTTTCATTAAGTCATTGACTTCTTGTTTTGGTTTTGTGTAGCAGGTCCTGGCGCTGATCTTGGCGTCAAAAAAGAAATGCTTCACCAAGGGGTGCCATAGAGTAAATTTTAACCATTAAGATTTTTAATGGAATGTAATTTATATTTGTCATGCGACTGACATTGCAGTGTTACATTTTAATTGCATCATCCTGTATGCATACAAGCAGTTTTGTTACAATTTAATATTTTAAAATCAGGTGTTGGTATGTTAGCTTTTAAATATTTCTGGAAAACATAATTTAAAGATCAAATTTTGTTTTATAACATTGTCTCTGCAACTACAAATATTTTTCACAGTAATTTTATATTTGAATAGTAATTGTGTGTGTAAGAATATCTCCCAGCTTTTCTGATAAGCGGCACTTGTATAATGAAATTCTTGAATAAGAAAGATTATTCACATTGCCTACATCTGTTTGTTCAAATTTCTAATTGTAAACATGATTTTAATGCTTATTCTGTATTTTATTTATTTTTAATATCTTACATGGGATTGAGATCTACATTTACTTTAATGAAACTTTAATTTTGTAGGTATTTAGCAGTAACAAAAGAAAATAAACTTTTTATTTACCAAGTACCTGGTTGCAGCATGAAGCAATTCAACGCATTCACCTTAGAAAAAGTGTATCATTTTTCATATGATAAAACAATGTGCATTGATTGGACATCAGATTCAAGGTAAAAGCTATTTTCATTTATTAAGATATAAGTGTGATTGCATAATTCATATAATTCTTTCACATCATGTATCTCTTCCACATCACAAATCTTTCCAAAAGTACATTGTAATGCACACAGTATTCCTTTATTAGTTATAAACTGAATTTTGATACTAAGCATAAATATTTGTTTTATATTTCTAGAAGACTGCAGTTCCAATTTAAGTTTGTGCAAGTTAATAGTTAAATCTTGTAAGCTCTCTAAATCTCGTTAATTGTGAGTCTTACATGCTCAAAATGTTATTAAACAAAGAGACATTAACAAACAATATTAAACAAAGTAGAGAGAGAAAGCACTCTTAAGCTTCATTTTAATATTTGCTAAAGAGAATTTTTATCTATGATTTAAAATTTTAGAAAGTAAAAATTCATCAGAAATACTTTTCAGAACAGTGTTAAACGTTTATAAAGAAAAATTATGCATCAGTTTTCTTTAAAAAGACATAAAACCGTCATTATATTTTATCCAAAGGTTTAATTTTGCTTTATTTTAAATGCAATGGATATGCATGTGTTCTACATAATAAATTTTCTTATTTAATTTAAAAAAAGTAATCTTTTATATTTTCAAAAGAATGAGGGCATGCTGGGTGTTTAAATTTACAGTGTAACAAATTTGTTTTTTATATGTCTCCCAGTGATCTACGTGATTACCCTGGAATATTTTCAAAGCAAAATTAAGAAAACTGTTCATGAGAAATTTTTCATAATCTATCCTGTCATGAATTTTTTATTTAAAGTGTGAAATGTTCTTTTTCAAAAAATGAAACATCATGAACAGCACAAAATAAATTCATGAGAAATGATTTCAAAGTGCAATAATTCCATCATAATATGAAATACCGGGGAAAAGTACAGTACAGTTTATTTATTCACAAATAATCATCTCAAATGTCTAATTTATGTACTCTCTATGTATGTAATTTATGTACTATTAAATATAGGATAGTAAATTAAACTGGTTATTTTAATAATTTTTCATAATAAATTTTTTATGGGCCCTTCAGTAGCAGAATGGTAAAGTGACTAAACACTGGTAGGTTGCTCGGGTTCAAATCACATTGAAGAGGTTGGATTCATGGGTGTTTTCATGGTTTCCACAGTGTCTAAGTTGGATACAAGCCAGCTTCCCTTAGAAAGTCCTGTGTGAAGGCATTCCTTCCCTTATGCAGTTAGCTGTCATGTGCTTTAGCATAATTCATTAAACAAAACAAATAAAGACAATCAAATCCCAGAAAATGGGATTCCCTGATGAGAATCCCATTTTTTTCCTAATAATCTTTAATATTATTATATGTAAATATGAGCAATTTTCTCTTAAAGAGGTTTCCACGAAAGCATGCATTCTTTTAAGCAGATAGTGTTTGTATGATTTGCCGTAATCCACTCCTAATTCTTACACATTTAACAGTGTGTTGGAGTATACCTTATTACAGAGAAAAGAACATTCCTTTTTTAAAGAAATGTTTTTTAATTAATCAACTAATCTGCATTCCCTTTGTCTCTTGAACAATATATCAGTTTCACTAAATCAAAACTGCTACATCACACGATACAGCTAAATGTCTGAAGTGTTGCCAGGCAATTTCATCAAAAGAGCCTTTGACAGAAAATTTTTACAAAGGAGTCGACTAACTATCTGACTGACCTTCATATATTGTAAAGTTCTTTTAGGACAGAATAGGAGAATTTTAGAAATCCAATGCTTGAAAATTTGAAAGTATCTAATTTTTACTGATTGGGTAAAAACAATACTGCAAATGCAGCTGTAAAATCAAACTAGTTATTGCTTGGGAATACTGAAATTTTAGAAACCATGTGAACATGAAAAAAGGTTTTGGAAAAGTTTGATGCTGAACTCCTAAAAAATGTAGGTGAGTATTCAGTATGCACGTGAATTCAAATTTCAGTCACAAACCAAAAAACATTTTTTAATCCTTCTTTGGGTCGTCTTCATTATTATGATCTGGATAATTTTGTAATGCAATATCTTTAATGTATTACTTATTTAAATTACATTCAATTTTTTAGCTGGAGGATTTATTTTATATTTGTCTGATGATATTCCTATTTTCCAGAGTAATTGCTGTTGGAAGTGCAGACATGACAACAAAAATATATGCTTTTGCAAAGCTAAAAAATTTATCTGTATACACATTAGGTAGCCATACAGATGTTCTTGTAGGATGTTTTTTTGAAGAAAATTCTTTAAATGTATCCTTTCAAATATTGGTTTTTGGATACCTTGTTCCCCGTCCCCCTTTTTTATGAACTTTATTATTATATCATATGACAGATTTATTCAATTTCATGACATTATTTGTTCTTATTTCTACATGGTCATACTTCGTAAGACATCTTGGAGCTTTTATATGTTTATAAATTAAACAAATCTTATTCATTTATTTTGAAACTTACTTGAAATTGACTGGATTAGCAAATTTTATCGTGGGATTTCCGTTTTTTTATTTAAATAATGAAATTTAAATGAATTTCCATAAAAAATATTTATACCATATAATGAAATGTGAACAGAAGTTTTAGTGATTCAAGCTTGAATAGAAGGAAGGCCTTTGTGATCATCTTGAAAGTAGTGAAGCAAGACTGTATTTTATTCTGTGCATTTTACATTGCTTTTAATGCATCAGCTTGTTATGACCACCAAGTATGATGTAGTCTTATAGTGGTGAAATGCATCTCATTTTCAAGAAATTAAATTCCAAACCCTTTCAGTGGTAATGCAACACAATATAAAACTTATATTCTTTCTATTTAATTAAAATATAATATACCTTGCAGACAGTATTAAGCAGCAATATTTTCGACTTATTAAGTGAACGTATTGTAAGGCATGTAATGTGCTGCGTCATTATATTGCTTTATTGTAACTTTATTATTATTATTATATGTTTGCTGTAACTTTATTATATTGCTTTATTCCAACTTTATTATTGTTATATGTTTATTGTATTTAATTATATTGCTTAAATTATAACTTTAACTGATAGACCTTTATACTGACCAGATATGTTTGCTGCATTTTAGTAACTTTAACCTCTGCATTCCGTAATATTTCTGTTTAACCCATTTCGCTGATTCAGTACTACAATTTCCAGTGATGTACCAGTATGTAATTAAGAACCTATTAAAACACTCCACACACTGACCATTAGCTAACAGATAACATAGTTTGATATTAAACTGATCAACATTTTATATCTATTGTGGAATGAACAGTTATGGCATAATACTTTTTCCTCCCCTTGACTGAGGACGGGCCTTTCCCTCATTGCAATATAGAAAGCTATACCAGTAAAGAATGGTGATTAATCTTCAGCTGGACAGCAATTTGACAAGCTTCCTGTGGTAATTTTGATTACCTCTAAAAATTTAATCAAACTGTCAAATTTCAGCATCAGAACATAAAAAATATTTATGCTAACCAAAAAAAAAAGTGCCTGTTTATAAAATTTCATATAAGACCTATTTTACTAACTAATAAAATTGCTTGGTAATAGTCCACTGATTTTGAGATATGTAGTGTGTTTACCATCAGACTAGTAGTAAAACTGTTGAATCCTGGTAGTTCAACCTGGGTTCAAATCCCAATCAATGGGCTGGTTGCATAAAAGTTCTTGTGGTATACCCCTTATATAATATGAAGAAAAGTCAGCTTCCCATAAAAAGTTTGCAGCATTGTTTCTTTAAACAGATAGTTCTTAAGTACTTTGTTATAAGTTAAATAGTCCAGTTAGATATGTGGTCCTGCCAGATACAAAAATTACTAGCCTAAAGGGGCAGTTTGTCCGGAAGGGCTATTAATTTCATTTTGGCATTTTTCTTTGGCTCACTAGAAATGGTGTTTCACTTTTAAAATAGTTGCCACCAAATATTACAGCCTTGCATTATATTTAAAGACATTAAATAATGAAGAATCTGCATGAATGTATGTATGTTTCTTGCACTGGGAAAAACAACAGTATCTAGAAACATCTAATTTTGAATAATGTAGGCCTCCACTTGATATGAGCTTCTAGAAGCCCAAATTTGGAATTTGTTTTATTATCTATTTCATATTTTGCAAAACATTAACAAATTTTTGATTAACAAACTCAACAATTTGGAAGTGAGCAATGGACGGAGGGAAAAAAAAAAACATTTTTATCTCCAGTATACAAGACTGTATATTGAAAATCTAAATCTATGCTCTTTTTAAATCATTATGTGATTTTGCTGTTGAATTGAATTTTAGGGTTTAAGTGTGAAGAACATGATATTTAATAAATAAAGGTAACACTCAAAATGTTAAAAAACGCTTTGGGCATAATATAAATTCTGAAAGCTTTCAGATTTTTTTTTTTTTTTTTCATTTGCAGTGTTATCAGCACAAGAGATTTATTATTAATGCTTATTTAAATTTTTCATTAGTTATGTATGAATGTCAAATAAGTTAAAATTTATGAATTTTTAAATTATAAGGAGAATAAACAAGTTATGTAAAGTTCATAGATTTTAGTCAGTGAAGTATTATAATGTGGCAAGATATTGTGGAAAGTTTGTTGTTATCCTTAATTGTCTTAAGATATATACTGTTAGCAAGAATGGACAAGTTTGTGCATGGGAATGCAGCTTTGATCTGGGCAGTTTAATATCTGCATCTGAAGATCTAAACAAAAAGGAGCAAAATAATGATGAGGAAGATGAAATAATATGTGAAGAAGAAGGTAAGCTGTATCATATGCTTTGTAAACATGTATATTTCTATGTTAGATGAAATGCAATTCCTTCTTTACTGAATATATCTTATATTTTATAGAGAAAAATGTGACAAAGGGAAAAACAGATAAAAAATTTTTCTATAAAAGAATAGGAAGGTTTGTATATTAAAAAACAGTTTGCATTTAATGTTCTTCATTTTCTCTATTATTGTTTTAATGTATCTCTGTGAATGTTTTAAGTTAGATTATTTAGGTTTTTAAAATAATTGAAATACTTGTATATTAAATATAATTTACATTTTAATTTTTTTTTTTTTTTTCAAATGTAATTTATTTTCCTATTTTGATGATTTTTTTAAGTTAGGTTATTTAGTTGAATATTTAGGTTAGGTTATTTATGTCCTCTGTCCAGCTTTTCATTATATGTCAGTATTTTTACATTTTTTTGATTTATTGATTTCCAAGTTAAATCTTCTTTTGTCTTTAATATCCACTTTAAAATAAAGTGAGTAGCATTTCAGTGAATGGTGTAAACCTGTTTTTGCTGATATCAAGTTTTGATTCATGAAATAAAACCCATGCTGTTTGTGCTGTGTTGATTAATGCTTCTTGTTGTTTTTAAATCAGTTAATTTGTAACTAATTTACAAACTGTTACTGTGATATTTTAATTATGTTTTTATTTTAGGCATTTCATAAAAGATCAGGTTTCTAAAGAAGGTTATGTTGCTCTTTCATCTGCAGCATTTAACAGGAAAGGTCATTTGCTAGTTGTAGGATTTTCTAATGGTTCATTTTTGCTTTATGAAATGCCAGAGTGCTATCAGATTCATTCTCTTTCGTGAGTATCTGCTACGTACTGTGTGTTATATTTTAATTTATGAAAAAGTTATTAAATCTTTCAACTGTTTTCAACAATAAATTGAAATATATCAATGATTGTTAACAAGCTAGATTTTGCAAATTATTTATATGACAGTTTTTTGTAATATATATTGTAAATTATTATCTTATTTACTAAAACAGGAGTTTTTGCTTTTGAACTAGGGAGATTACTGATTTGTCTTTTAAAATAATTTTACTTTTTGAATTTCAAATGAATATTGAACAAAAGCTTGTTATGAGCTATTTATTTGGCTTTTTTGAAGGAGGGGCGGGTCCTGACATATCAGTTTATTTTTTAAAATGGCTCTCAATGTTTCAATTTTTTTTTAAAGAAAATATATATGAGAAATCTAAAAAGCTGTTTAATTGTGAGTCATATGAACATTTCTATCAATACTGGCATTGAAAATTTGAGAAAAGTTAAGTTTAGAAATTAACTAAGTTATATAGTTATCACTGCCAGTCAGAATGGCATATGCATTTTTATCTAAGCCCTGTAATAATGAAAACAAAATGTTTGTTTTCGTCCCTATAGCAATATTATTTTTTTAATTTGTTTATTTATTTTCTTTTAAAAGGGAATTACTTTTACAGGCTTTCAAATCAAATGATAGCTAGTGTAGCATTCAACTATACAGGTGATTGGATAGCACTGGGCAGTGCGGGCATTGGACAGCTCGTTGTATGGGAATGGCAAAGTGAATCATTTGTAATGAAGCAGCAGGGACACTTCAATAATATGCAGTGTCTTTGTTATTCACCCGATGGAATGTTCATAGCTACTGGAGGGGAAGATGGGAAGGTGAGTTTTATAAATAGAAAATTTTATCAAATGATCTAAACATTCTTGCATTATTTTAAGGCATAAGTAACTGTAATTTAATGAATTATTTCTTCATATTTGATATCTACTAAGTTGTTGTAGATCTTTTTATCTTTGTAAATGTTTTCTGGCAATCGATAAATATTCAGCTAAATTCATATACAATTCTGGGTTGGGCACAAAGACAAATTGGAATTGTTTAGTAATTCAGGGTTGGAAATACCATCTTCATATGGTAGATGACATTGTTTAGCAACAAGAATGCTGCTGTGTTCATCATTTATGAACTGTGTGCAATATTACAAAATCGTTCAGTGAAGTGATCACAAGGTAGTTCAATATATTAATTTTTTAATATTAAATCAAAAGTTTGGTTTACAGTAACGTCATTGAAAGTAATGTGAATCTTATAACATGCATCTCTGTAGCTACTTTTGCAATCTGAGACACATCATGAATTTTTCAAAATGTGTATGATCAAGTGTATATTACAATTCATATTTGCAGTTTTGAATTTCTTTCTGCAATCTTAATGCAGTTTCAAAATGTCTTTGAGTAATTAAAAGCGTTTTATTCTCTTATGTATTGCTGTTTCATTTCCCGTCCATTTTGTTCATTAACACATGAACAAGATGTTTACAATTCTGTTTTGCTGTGTGATTGTGATTTGTTTTTTGTGTGATATGCCTTTCACAAAAGTTTCTACACATTATAGTTGAATTATCATGTGTAATTTTGTTTAGTTGTTGCAGTAAATTGGAATAATCTTCCCAAATGTATAGCTTTGTTAATGCTGTGATTATGTAACAAACAAAACTGGAAAAATCCCTCTGAGATTCAAAAACTTTTTTTTTTTTACATAATGCAAAATTTTGTGCAAAAAAAGTAAAACTACACATGGAGAGAGAAAAGTACGTTAACAACAAATTTTGGTTGTCATGTAGTATGCAATATACTGCTTTTAGTTAGTTCTTAAATTGATGCCACTAAAATTCATTGTAGTTTTAATCATTTCTTTTTTCTGCCATTTTATGGTACATTTAATAAATTAAAAAGCATGGTACCATATAAGAAATAAATAACTAACTAGAAATGGTGGATCACCTACTGCATGATTATTGAACTGTTAATATTTATTAGACCATGAATTTAATCAAACTTTAGAATTTTGCAGATAATTTAGCTTCATTTAAATTAGTGTTTCACAATAAAATTGACCAAATTTGCTCAAAGTAAGTATTCATGTCAGTTTTCTTTGATATGTTATTTTCAGTGCTATGTTTATTTTCAATAATACTGAAATCTGCTTTCTAAAAGGCAATTGAATGAACCAGAGTGATGTATTAGGTACTTGCTTGTTTTCTTTGTGTTAGGGATTGTATTCTGTTGGTTAAAAAATATTTACAATTCCAAATTTCAGTTTTAGTACTTCAAAACTGTTTTTATATTATACACTGCATTGCATATGAATTTTGTTTGCGTATCTTTTTTTCTGTTTTTGTGTAGATTTTGATTTTAATGCATTTAAAATAATAACAATTCTAAAGTAAACGAACATGCCATAATTGCTTTATAAGAATTCTGTTCTGAATTTTTTTGCGGACATTGAATATTATAGTTGGCTAATATTTTTAATATTGTGCACATGCTAATAAATATTTTTTTTTTTATTTTACATTAATTAATTATTTAGGTCAAAATATGGGATACCTCTTCTGGTTTTTGTTTTGTTACATTTACTGAGCATACCAGTGCTATCACAGGTGTAGCATTTTCTCCAAATGGTAAAGTTGTTCTGTCAGCATCACTTGATGGGACAGTAAGAGCATTTGATTTATTCAGGTATGATTTTTTTTTCCCTTGCTATTTTAGTACCAGCTTTTTTTTTTTTTAGTTTTGGAGTTAATATATATGTTACCGTGAAAGACCAAAATTGGAGAATGTCAACATTCACCAAATACGTCGTTGAAAGATCGAATATTGCATTACATTCTTGTACATTCGGACCCTCACTGGTGTATGTCGACAATCACAGATATGCTCTGGTGCAGCTCGAAAAGAGAGGAGTATATGTACACACTGTCATTTCAAAAGGAAGTGTTCCACAAATAAATGCACTTGTAAAAGCAAGGACTTCTTGTGCAATTCAAAGTGTCTTAATGGTTTAAGTTGTTGCAATAAATAAGATTTGAATCCCATAATTTAGTAAGTTTTTAACTTCTATTTTTTCCTTTCTCATTTTGAATGTACTGTGGGTTTTAAGTTCTTATTTTAAGTCAAGTGTGTTTTTTCGTGACTGAATTATGGAGAAGAAAATATAATATTCTTATATGTTCAACATTCACCATTAGTATGAATTTGGTGAATGTACAATCCATTGGTGAATGTTGACGTTTACCAGTGTAAGTCAGAAATAAGAGTATTTGGGAAATATTTCGGACATGCACCAAGCGACTATGTGAATATTGACATTCACCAGTGAAAGTCAACATTCTTCAGATTTCGCCGATTCACCGTAACATATATATTTAATTGATTTGTTAGGTTTTTTTTTTTTTTTTTTTTTTTTTTTTTTTTTTAATAATGAAAATTGTCAGTGAAATGTTCTAAGCATTTCTTTAGAATGGGGTGTTATATAATAAAGCATGTTTAAAAATGAACCACAAAATGCATATCACAGTCTTACCAGAAACTTCTGTTGTATGACGCCTTACAGTTCTGAATGCATCTTTTGAAAATATAACTTAAGTTATTTTTTTAAAAGCAGCTCACAAGTGATGATTCTACACTGAGGTAATATATAATTTTAGAAAAGTTGTTAAATGTGTTGTAATTTTTTTTCAGTTACCTGTGTTATTTAAAATATATAATAGGCATGTAAATTGCTAATTAGTTTATTTATTAAATTTTTTAAATCAAACAGCTACTGGTGTAATTTGAGAGACAAATTAAAAATTATATTCTTGCTTGCTCACATGCCCTTCCACATGTTCATGTAATGTAATATAATGTGAAATCTTGAAAATTTGGAAAAGCATTTCCTTTTGGAACATCAAAAGCTGTTTAAAAGTTAAATTTTTCCTCTCAATACAAAATTATCATTTGGTAGCATTATATCATTGGATGCAGAGGTAAAATTTAAATTACACCATACTTCACTGCTTGTTCTTATCTGAAATTCTTTTCTTTAATTTCTTTTACTCAAATTGTATCATAGCAGGTTTATCATATATCTCCACAGCAAAATGCAAACAAAAATGCCAACCAGCCATATAAATGTGAATAAAGAAAAACTGTATTTATTAAAGAATCCATGATGAATATTACTGCTATATATTACATTACAAAGAAGTGCAACATTTTTAATGAATGAATGTTTGAAATATATTAGGTGATAAATATGGAAGTGTTTTTCAATCAACAAGTGTTGCTAAAGTCAATGATATATTGATGATTTTGTTTGATAACCTTTTGCCATTTTTCAGTGATCTTCATAATTGCTTGTTTGCTGAAGGACCTCTCTTTGTTAACAAGAAATTAAATAAGGTGCTGATTTACAGCTTGATCTGAATTGAGCATATTAGGAGTTTTGAAGATATTGAAACAGGCAGAAATCTGAAGGGTGTGGAACATAGCCTATCTAAGCTCTAGTAATTTTTGATAGCTGATGAAACTGATGTGTGATCTTTCATTGTCATAATATAATACAACTTCTTTACACTTAATGAGCTCTATACATGTCTGGGTGATGGATTCATTCAAAGTGTCCAGTTCCCAAGTGTGCACAATTGACCTGACTTGTTTTCATGGATTAACCTTTATTTGATTGTCATCTACTTCAGGGGCCCACCAGCGGCCGAGCAGTAAAGTCACTGAACACTGGTAGTTCGGTCCGAGGTTCGAATCCCGCGAACGGGCTGGATGCATGGGTGTTTTCGTGGTTTTCCCCATGTGTAACGTGTATACGAGCCAGTTTCCCTTAGAAAGTCCTCCACGAAGGCATCCCTTCCCTTAGGCAGATAGCCCTAGTGTGTTTTGCCTTAATTAAATACACACCAACACCATCTACTTCAGTTTGGTTTCCTGACCTAGGAGTGTCATTAAGATCAAAATCGCCAGCATGGAATTCCATGAACCATCATTGGTTCTCACATTCCTGTACATCATTGTCACTGCAATCTTTAATTTTCACAGGCTTGACATTAAAGCAATAAAACATGTCAGAAATGGATTGTTTGGTCTTCTTTCTTCAGTTTATAAAATCTCCAAAAACTTAGGTTTTTTTTTTAAAGAATGAACCTAGAACTATATGTTGTTAAACGAGATTGTGATAATCTAGATGCAAATTATTTTGGTATTTACAAAAATGAACATGATATGTTGCAAAAATGTGACATGTCTTTTCTGTCAAACCAGGACTTTAATGATGCCGTATAAAAACTATGGCATTAATTCTTATACAAATTTCATTTTTTACTCACTTTCTAGATACAGAAATTTCCGAACATTTACTACTCCTAAACCAACTCAGTTCTCTTGTCTTACCGTCGATCCTAGTGGAGAAATAATATGTGCTGGTTCTGAAGAAAGTTTTGAAATATACGTATGGGCTGTACCTACTGGACGTCTTCTTTCTGTAAGTTCTAGTTCCTTTATCTGGTTCTCTGAAATAAATGCAGGAATGAATTGATATAGAATGTTAATGTTAATAACTAGGATAGTAAAACTTTGTTGTTTTACTAAGGGTATTATAATAACCCATTGTTACTTTTTCAGTAAGTCTGCTTTATTTTCTTTTTTAAAATTTTCTTCTAGGTACTAGCTGGCCATGAAGCACCAGTAAGCAGTGTTTGCTTCAGCCCTGTTGATCTTGTTATTTCTTCTGCATCCTGGGACAAAACTGTAAGGTTCTGGAATGTACATGAAAGCAAAAGCAGCCGGGAAACTATAACTTTGACATCTGATGGTACAAAATATAATTACATATTCCCCATAATACAGTGTTCAAAGAAACTTTTTAAATGTAGAGATTTTAAGTTAAAAAATCAACTGCATTTTCCCTGCTCCTTTTTGTTCCCCTTTATTTTATTTATTTATTTTAATGTGTGTGCACACTATTAGTTCCACTAAAATAGAAAGTATTTTATGAATTTCCTACTTTCTGTTGTTTCAAGTATATCTGGTTATAGTTTGAAATTAAAAAATTTGCATTTATTACTTGTTTTTATAAGGTGTAAGTTTTTAAAATAGTTTCTACTACAGTAGAAGACCAAAAGACTGACAACACCTGGAAGCCTATTACATGTCATCATTGAATAGAGGTAGCTTTGGTAATTTTAAGGGACAAGTTTCCTTACTTAAACAAGCAGTCTTCCATACTCTACCAATTATCTCTTTTGTAACTATTGTTAATTAATTATTTTGCTGAAAGTCATTACATTTGTACTATATGTGCAGATTAACCCTGTTGTTTTATCAAACAAGGATACAGTAATTCCAATTTTGGCAGTCTTCTGTTAAAAAGGCCACAACCAACATATGTGTCAGAGCATCAAAGAAAGCAGCCTTATCCCATGAAGCACATCAGACATGGCAGCACAATATATTTTAATCCAGACATTTTGCATGTAATGCAAGATATTGACAAGGAGCTAAGGTAAAATGTGTGACTAATTGATTAAAAATATGCAATATGCCAGGAAAATTATTCTTTTCTTGAAAGAAAGAAAAATTATCCATGTAAAGGAATTGTTCATAGGAAGGCTTTGTTTAAATAATCATTATTGTAGCTTCACCATCAGCACATCCTGAATGTATCACTAGTGTTGTCATCACTCTTTCAGGCTGCATTGATATTTGATGATGACTGCTGCACCCATATAAAAAAATGTATCGTAATTTTTAACTTCATTCTCTTCTTTTTCATTAGCTCAACAACTCAGGGTGGGCACTGTCCTTCTTTGGGCATCTCTGCTTTTGGCAACTGTTTTCCAGTTTTTGACCTTTAGAATGTTTAGGTCTTTTTTCTCCCCCCTACCAACACTTATCAAAAAAAAAAAAAAAAAAAAAAAGAAAGAAAGAAAGAAAAGAATCAGAATATCAAAAGGCATGCTGACTTAGAAAGTAATGTCTTTAAGTAGAAGAGAATTCAAACTAAAGTCTTAAAACAGCTTACTTTGAATGTATGTTTGAAAATATATAAAAGATAATTTGTATAAATTATAAACCTATGTGTTTAATATATATTTCTATTTAAAAAGTTGACAAAAATTCTATGCTTTTTTGTGCTTTGTTGAATATGTTTTTCCTTTTAAGTTTAAATTAATAATTTTTTTATTTTTTACTAGAAATTTAAACTAAATAAAAAGTAACATTATAAATAAAAAAATTCTATGTTACTTCAACCTACTAAGTGGTGTAGATTTTTGGGTCTGCATTTATTTAAAAAATGAAAAACGTGAAGTTGTTTATGTCAGTAATTTAAACTTTGTAATTCTCTTTCCTCCCAAAAAAGCATTTGCAATATTGCCTTAACTTAGTTCTAAGCATTCAAGTTACTGTTAAATTAATTGCAAATAGTTTTTCAGCTTCCTAATGTAACCGCCCCTGAAGTGTATTTGAATGCCTTATATACTGACATACTTGAGTATTAATTTAACTTTTTCTTTTTGATAGTGTAGGAGTGGCTGAGTTAGATTTTATGAAGGGATTGTATTTCTAGTAGCAGATAACATTTTGTGATGTATTCTTACAAAAAATGCATAAAATTTTTTTCTCTTCCTTACTAAATGTTGGTTGGGAAAGCATTAATTTGTTAAAATTTTGATACTAGTTATACTACATTGTTATTATTATTTATAAATGGTTTACTTCAGAGTTAAATGTAGACTACCTGAATGTATAAAATTATCAGAGTGAGAACAGGAGTTTTCGAAAGCCCAGAACATAAGCCACTTCAAAATCTGATAGATTTTTTTTAGGAGAATGTAAGTAAAGAAATAGGATAATTAATAAACACCTTAAAAGCTGGCAAAACAGATAACTTATGAATTTAACTTAGTGCATGCAGTTCCATCAGTTTTCTGCAGAACATAAACCACTTCAATTTTTTTTTTTTTTTTAAGGAAAACTTAAGTAATATAATAGGATAGTTAATAAACAGCTTAAAAGCTGGCAAGACATCAAAACAGATAACTTATGAATTTAACTTAGTACATGTAGTTCTATTAGTTTTCTAAGTTAAGTTTAAGATTCAGTCGCAACAGATGTATGCCTTTTGTAATATACATTATGCAATTTAATTTTATCAGCTGATTAACTGACAGCATCAGTACTATCTGTCATTGGGGTGCCAGTTGTCAAATTTTGTAGCTTTTTATTGTCACATTAAGAATACCTGTGCAATGACTTTGTTGGCTAGCAGGCTAGGTGGACATCTGTTGAGGAATTTCCTGTCTTCTATTTTCAGTTCCTTAGGTGGAAGAATTGGCAGTTACAGAAATGAACACTTAAGTTAACCACAAATACTGTTTTAGTGGTCCTGATATGAGATAAAATGTGCAAAATGGAGAAATAGCAACAGTGTGGCACTGGCTGCCACCAACTAGATTTCTATCTTATCAAATTCATGTTTTAATGAATGCATGAAAGACACTTTTTTTTTCCCAATATCAAATTAAATTGGCAGTTTTATGTCCCCTGTGTAATCTGAAATGAATCTGTTTTGTAATTGTAATATTTTTTTTTATTTATACTTATATAATAAAACAGTTAAGCTTTTCTGAAGCCTTCTGTGTCATTAAGGTTGCTACCATTTATCCATATTCACATCAGTATTTATGACTGGTGCTAAATGTACCCCATTAATAGAAAAGTACCTAATCATCATACTACTGTCCGGTCTTTATCAGCTGGAAACTTTATAAAGTTTTTCAAATGTTACGTCTTCTGATCAGATGAGTAAGCATGTTTGCTTTGTAGCTTACAGTTGCTACAGTTGTCTGACTACTTTGTAGCTTACAGTTGCTACAGTTGTCTGAACTTATAGCTACAGTTGTCTGACTGGAAAGAAAATAAATGCTTAGTGAACTGAGACATAAGACTTTTATCATCAAAGGAAATAAAGCTATATCTTTAAATTTTGCTAATAAAATTTCGTAAAAATAAATAAGGGTTTTTGATACCATAGAGTAGACTTTTCTAAGTGAAAAAATTTAATCTGTACAAAAAAAAAAAAAAAAAAAAAAAAAAAAATTGAGCTGCTTTCTATTATAAAACAACATTCACTGAACTATTTTCTAGTGGAGAAATATGTGCAGTAATTTAATACTTGCAAAAGGAAAACATTTTTGTTACCAGCTTATTTCACTAAAATTGTTTTAAGTATAAGAAATATATATTTGAAAATAAGTTATTTCAGTAAACAAAGAATCAGATAAAATGACATACATTAGAAGTTTTTCTTTAATAATATTTATTTTGAAAACAATACTACCATAAGAGAATAAAACAATGCATTTAACTGTGACCTATAGACAGCATTAGCACATATATCTTTTTTATAGAAAATTATGTATTTGGTGCATGTTCCATGTAAATATAAAGATTCAAAATATAATACACTATTTTAGTTTTATTTCAGAACTTTAAGGCATGAAAACTTGTCATGTTTAAATTTCTTATCTAGGTTTTGCTTTTTTTTTTTTTTTTTTTTTTTTTTTTTAATATTGTGTTTTTTGATATACTTGATGTATTTTTCTATATTTCAAATATTTTATAGCTTTGGCTGTTGTATATAGACCAGATGGAGCAGAAATAGCAGTTGCAACGTTAGATGGTCAAATATCATTCTTCAGTGCACATACTTCTGAACAGACTGGCAGTATAGAAGGGCGAAATGATCTCTACGTTGGTCGTCGTGAGACAGACAGGATTACAGCAAAAAAGCTGTTAAAATCACAGTAAGCAATAAAGTTTTTTTTTGCATATTTTTTAGATAAAACTTGTGGCGAATATTGAAAGCTGATTTTATTTATGAGATATATTAGTGACTTATCAGTATTTTGGCAAAAATTCTGTTTCTTCTTAAAGCTTTGCATAATGTGTGTAAATATTGTATGTATAATTTTTGCAACTAAAAAAAAAATTTTTTTTTTACAGAGCATTTACAACACTATGCTACATTGCTGATGGTGAATGCATTTTGGCTGCTGGTCGTTCAAAATTTATTTGCATCTATAATGTAAAAGATAAGATACTTATGAAAAAGTTTGAAATTACATGCAACCTCTCTTTTGATGCTGTGGAGGTTAGTTTTTTAATATGGATCATTATTTTTCATCCTTTTTCCCCTTAAATGTAATATTTAAATATTGGAATGACACTGATGTTTTTCTGAAGGATTTTATAAACAGAAGAAGAATGACGAATTTTGGTAATAAAGCCCTTATTGAGAAAAGAGTTGATGAAGAAGCAATTACAGTTGCTGTTCCTGGGAGCAAAAAACTTGATAAAAGTTCAAGATCTGTCAAACCAGAGATAAGTGTATCAGCAATTCAATTTTCTCCTACAGGTACTTTACCTTTTTTAGTAATTACTTTGGCCATTTTTTTCTAATTGCTATAAAAGTTGAAATACTGCTGAGTTTGTTCTGGGTATCAGGCCAAATATAAAATTTTGTATTAAATTGAAACCAAAAATGAAATACTTTTTATTAAATAATGTAAAACATATACATTTATATATATATATATATATATTAATTTAATTAAACTTAGGAGATAATATAATCAATTAATCAATACTGTTTAGGAAATAAATTATTATATATATATATATATATATATATATATGTAAGATATGACAAAATTAACATTCTAGATTTGGTGCTCTCTCCCTAAATTCATCTGTTCTCCCAAATTCAAGATTTTTCTATGTAACGATATTAACCAATTGTAGCTTGTCTCTAAAATCGCGCCCACTCTGGTATAAATACCTCTGGCGAGCTAATTACATCATTATTCTGTTAGCTTCTACCTTGCTAATAACTCCTTACCTCGCTTCTCTAAAATGCCTGCATCAGAAACCAATGTACCTAGCAATTTATCATATTTCATTATGATTGGGTAAATATCTATGGAGATGATTTTATGTGTGTGGAAATAAAGAATGGAAATTCTTCAAGTTCATGTTTTGTTATCTTCATTTGTAAGCCTTCACCATAAGCCACAATGTCTGCAAGCTGATTCCTCTTCTATGCTTCAAAAATATTACATATATATATTTAAAGCTGTAGATTATTACAAAATATTATATTTAAAAAATTTTGGCACATTCTTTAAGAGCTTATGGTTTAATTTATAACAACACACACAGAAGTTTTATGCTTTAAAAGGGACATAGATCTGTAGTATAAATGCATTCATATTCATATGTGAAACGAACATGGTTCAAAATCATGGTCTGTCTGTCTTGGTACTACATCAAGTGGAGGGTACTTAATAGAAACTGGAACATCAGAATTAACTAATTTAGGAGAAGTAAAAGCTGCAAGCAATTAATATAAATTTTGAAAATGTACCTTAATTTGGCAATTGTAATTCTAGTACCTGTTCATTTACAGTCTAGTCTGAATTAATTTTAAGGCTAAGAAATATTGGTGAAAGTGTAATGTATATGTTTGGAGTGAATAAGTTTTGAGGTGGTCAATGCTAGCTAGAGAAGTTTCACACTAAAGGAGCTTGCAAACTAACTCCTTGAATCGAGAATTTTTTTTTTTTTTTTTCAAACTTTGAGTAAAACCTGCAAAACAGTCATGATGAGCATATTAAGACTTCCTAATTCATAGTCGTGTAATTGTTCATAAAGCGGAACTGGTTGGGTTGTAGCATTGCAGTCTGTTTTATTAAGGATTGTGAATATGGAATATATGGAACACTGTTAACATCCACTCAACCAATTTTTAGAGATAAAAAGTTTGATTTTCTATATCCAGTCCAGTAAGAAATACGCATTACCTTGTAGAGACATTAGGATTTTTTGGGAGTGAGAGAGATGAAAAATTAACAACCGCCTTCGCCAGGAATCGAACCATGGACCTCTGGAATACCGGCCCAGCGTGCTACTGTTACACCATGAAGGCACACTAGGGAAGTGGGAGAAATACCTTATATACTCCCCTTTTTAAAGGGCGACTAGGGTTTTATGAGACCTAGTCGCCAAATCCTGGGTTTGGACAATCATCATCCACGACCCTTTTAGTTCGAGCGCCACTGTAGAGACATTAGGATTTTTTGGAAGCCAGAGAGATGAAAAATTAACAGCCGCCTTCGCCGAGAATTAAACTACGGACCTCTGGAATACCGGCCCAGCATGCTACTGTTACACCATGAAGGCACGCTAGCGAAGTAGGAGAAATACCTTATAACCTCACAAAAATTTGTAAAAATAACAATTTAACATCTATTAAAAGGAATGAATAATAACTCTTAATTTAAAAAAATTACATTAAAAGTTTTTTGCAGTTATTAGTGAATGTGTACATGTTTTTGTACGTTTTTTATGTACGTAATTTAATTTTGTACATAATTATGTTTTTTATGTACATAATATAATAATAATAACATATGGTTTGTATGTTTTTTATATATACATAAATATTCGTAATTCTCAAATTATTCATTATTTTTCCGTTTAGAAAGAATTTTATAATACATATGTTTATGCAAATTTTTCCCCCGTGTCCATTTTAAAGAACACGTTCCTTTATTCTTTTGTCCTTGTTATTACATTGTATAGCCATTTGTTTAATTTGTAATCTGTTCATTAAATATTTACATCTAATGACCCTCTGTTATTTTGCTAACCTACACAGGTAGAGCTTGGGCAGCTACAACCACAGAAGGTCTTCTTGTATATTCTCTGGACAACAATCTTGTGTTTGATCCCTTTGATTTAGACATAGATAACACACCTCAGAATATTAGGAAAACATTAACAAATAGTGATTATTCTCGTGCGATTATGATGGCTTTGAGGTTAAATGAAACTAAAGTTACTATGGAAGTTGTTGAGTCTATAAAACCAGATGCTAGTAAGTATGAAATTAATTCATCATTCCTCCTGAGTATTACTACTTAAAAGACACCATCTTGCTTCTTGTTTTTCCTAAAATATAACCTGACTTCATCCGACTTGTAGAAATTTAAGACATAATTTCTTTCTTGTGAAACATGTCAGGACAGGCATTTTATTGAATTTATTTGAATTATAATTTAACCCTTTGCGGCGCACCATACGTTAACATCGGAACTTCAACAAAAAAAAAGTTGTATGCAGTCTATTTAGGCCTAAAGGAGTATACAGATAAAATTTTGTAAAAATTGCACTTACCCTTTTAATTCTGTGGGTGTTCCATGAGGTGGAACACTGCGCCGCCAGAGCTTTTAAAAGTGCGACTAAGCGATCATTGCAGTGAAGCACGAAAATGAGAAGCGTTTGTATGAGAATGAAAACTCTGTATTGTGGCTGTATACATGGTTTCCTGGATATACACAATATTCTTGAATATATACGGATAAATGAGATAAATATCTATATACACAAGTCCTATATACAAAAATATTTTACAAATTTTCCTATTTCTTAGCTTCGTGAAATTGTTCAAAGCAAGTCACACCTTTTTGATGGAAGCACAAACCAACTTTGCAGGTTTTGCACATAAAACTTGTTTTGTGCAGTTTCTGCTTCATGCTATTGTTTACGCATACCCTTCACCGGCATGTGTTCAACACTACAGTAGCGTTTTTTTCCCGGAAACCTTTACTTTGTGCCTGGGAGTATCTTCAGGTCTTGAAAGAAGTCACCTCTTCAAAGTTATCTCTGACGCTGTCATGGCACAGAGGGAACACAGCAAATTTAAATGGAAATCTTTGGGCTGTAATCCGAGGGTAATTCATTAAACACATTTAGCGCTTCGGAAAGAGTTAGATCTCTCCATGCCATTTATGGAAAATTAATAGTAAAAAATTAACTATGATTGATATTAACAATAAAGAAAAATAAGCCTATAATATATACATACACGAAAAATATTTACACAATTTTTCAAAATAAACGGGAATGAGACTAAAAAGCGACAGTAAAAAATTCGTGCAGGTCTAAGTAAAAATGGTTCAAGCTACTAATGAAATTCCTGCCTAAAACCTACTCCCAAAAAATTCGAGATGCCAATATTAGGGCTTTCATAACACAAAACACACCTCACCCCTCAATACTGCTTTGTTTGAATTCATTCTCCCCAAAAAAACAACAGATGTTCTCTCCTAAGCACAGATGTTCTGGTTCGTAACAGCATGAGATCGCTAAAGGCGCAGTGTTCCCGCTAATGGAACACCCGGTTTTATTCAGTGATTCTGCGTATGGTTTTTGTATGAAAGATTTAAAAAAATATAGAACAAATAATTTGGAGTACAGCCAGCAAAATTATGCCTAATTTTTTTTTTTTTTTTTTTTTTTTTTTCCAAATAAAATTTTTTATATCATTAAAAAAATGGAGAAAATTACTTGAAAAAAGTGGATTTTAATAACACATAATAAATGAAAATTCTGTGTCTCCTTGTGATATGCTGCTATCCACTGTTTAAAAAGAAAAGTTCAAAGTATATTATAAAGGCATTTTTATCTATTTACAGTTGAATTTAAAGGTTTCAGAAGCAATTCAATTTAGGTGTTCCATGTAGAGGAACACTGAGCCACAAAGGGTTAAAAGATTATTCCAAGTACTTGCTAATTTTTTTAATTTCTATTTTAAATTTAGTTTACAATCTTAAAAAAGTCTGGTGCTTAAAATTTAAAAGAAAAAAAGTTATTTTGCATTTCATCCAGATGTAATTCAGAAGTGAGGCTGTATTGTTAATTCTCTTGGTTGCTGTTTGAAAAAGACCATACCAACTGAATTGAACTTTTACGTTTGTTTTTATTTGATTTTGTGTTCAGGATTAGTTTCCAGTTTTTGCTGTGTGCTTGCTTTCTTCATGTTAGATAACAGTGTTTCTTCAGTTTGGATCACTCATATACATAAGTGTAAGAAACAAAATACCAAAGATAACTACTGACTTAATTTGGTAATTGTTCTTTTAATTCTTCATTTTTATTTGACTTCTTCTCCATCCTGTCTTAAAACTACTAATATATGAATCTAAAGTGCATCATCTGAAAATGAATCCGTTTTGCCACTGTGTAAGAGTAACATTGTAGATATTTTTCATCCAGTCACCATTCAAAATTTAGACAAAAGAAGCAAATATATAAATACCACTGCTATTAATCGCATAGCTCTTTTTTCCTGTTTTGCCTTGCTGCTGCTCTGCTTCGTCTTTGTCTAAAAAGATTTAAAATGTACAGAATTGTAAATGATGATTTGTAAATCTATTAATGCATATCAAGGCTTGCTTTAATTAAAGTAAAACTGTTGAATGAATGACCGCATCTGAAGCTTTTCCTTCTCCATTATATTATCTCATGTATCCATGTAGCTTTTTTTTCTCCCTAATCGCAAGATATCTGCAGAATTTATATTACATATATATATATATATATAATTGAGAAGTTTGAAAAGAAAGCATAACTCAAAACTATCATAACAGATTTTGAGACAAAATGCAAAGGCTCACAAAATTTTAAAAAGCTGTGATACAAGGATTTCTGTTTCAGAATATTTGAATTTTGGAACAAAGGATTGCTGTGATTAATTTTTTTCTAACTAAATCAGATAATAATAAGAATGAAGGAAAATAACTACAAAACATTTTTAAAAAATGTTGCAACCACTTTACTACGAAATTTTATTTATATTTTTCAAATAATGCTTTGCCTTTGTTTAAAATAGTAAATATTAAATAGCAGCGCCTTCGTGTAACGGTAACACACTCGACATGTATTTGAGAGGTCCTGGTGAGGGCATTGCTTATTTTTCATGTCTCCTATTTAAAAAATCCTAATGCCTGTACAGCAGTAACCCCTTAATTCCCCCTCTCTATTCTAAAAATCATAATAATAGCATTTCTGGACTGCATCATTTCTATATCAGTCTATCTTGCATGGTTTGCATAATGCTGCTGACGTAGCTAACTCGGAACCAGAATTCAGAATTTTGAGAACTGAAACCTTTCTAATCTAAACCAAAACCCTCTCTTGGTGAGCCTCCATATTGGATATTTGCACACTTTAGCTGCAGCTCCCCTTCATCAAAATGCTACTTTGCTACATTTGCTTAGTTGCGCTACTAACTGTGCCATTGTCTAAAATGTGATACTCTATGTAAAACTGTTGGGTGAATATCGCACCCATGATTATGTATGATGAAGAATATGTTTTCCATATTTAGTTCATATTCAGCTGTAAAACTATATTCAGTTTGGCCTATTCAATGCCTGTCTAAAGTTTTTCCTTCAAATTTCATCTTTCTAACTACACAGTGAAGTCCCTCCCCCCAGGATTATGCTGTAGAGTCTCGCAAACTTGACTCCTGATATCTTGACATTCCATGTAACTTAAAAAATGTTTAGGAACTTTTTTAAGATATCTCTAGGCCAAACAAAGCAAGTATTACAGTACATATAATTGTTATTCATGCGTATGTCTTTCGTGTTCTGTTCAAAGATTTGAGTGTTCATTTTCTGTAATTGTTGTCATTTCCGCATTGTTTCATTAATTCTTATGTTGTTATGTTTTCACTGCTATAGCAAAATAACTACTCAGTAAGTTTCAAAGTTCTAGATGAGCACTGGTTTCACAGTATAATCACCATCCACAGATCAATGGGCAAGAGTAGATTTTTTTAAATTTGTACATTATTTGTCTCTCGGATCATAGTATTCAATTTTTAGATTTTTTAAAATTAAAACATTATAAAATAATATTGTCTGCATCAAAAGGTTAAATATTAAAAGTTTTAAAAAACCCACCCCTTATTCCATGAAACTCAACTTTTTGGAAACTCACCAGTCTCTCGGTCCACATTATGTCTAGTTTACCGGACTCTGCTTAACTCAAGAGAACCATCGTTAATCCATTACAGCTTACTCCAAATCACCATATTACATGCATGCATTGAGAAGAGAATTGCATCTGTTGTTTCACAAGTGTAATAGACAAATAGAAAAAGAGAATCAAAGTGAAATAGAATTTATTTTTTAATTGTGCTTTGATAAAAAAATTCAAAATATGAGTGGGTGCATTAACTTTAAAAGGACTGGCATCATGTATATGCTACGCAGCGATTCCACTCCTACCAGCCCAGCATCCCGTAAACGCAATGCAACAATTCTGCTCCTACGAGCCCAGCATCACAAATATGAGACATCAAAACGGAACAATTGGTTTTGAGAGATTTTTTGAAATAAACAAACTGTAAATCACGGCTCTTTATAAGTGTGCCTGTAAATTAAAGGGGCACAGGTGTTTTTGTTTATTTCGTTAGGATTTTCTTTCTTTCTTTTTTTTTCTATTTATTTTGAAACTCAACATCAGCTTTCTTTGTTAATTAAAAAGTAACATTATAACATTATTACAGAAGGAGAAAGACTATCAGCTTTATTGACGTATAATGCATTTTGCTTACATTTCTCAGGAAGGAACCAACATTTTTGTTTTTCTTACTTGATTTAATAGGTCATTATATATAATACCCTGAAAGGTCATTATATATAATGACATGGGTATTATATTTTGGTATATAATGTATTTACTTTACATATAATATACATTAAATATAATGTATAGATTGACGTGATCAGTAATGAATATCCCGCCAGTGGGGGGGGGGGTCTTTCCTTGATCACTTTCCAAGCATCCATCGTGGATGCTGTTTTCGATTTAGAAAATCAGGAAGTTTTCTAATATAAACCTGATGTCACACAGGATTTGAGGATGAAATATTTCTGAGTGTCTTTTGAAGAAGTTTTTGGACATGTGTTGGTGTTATATTCAGTTTCATTCCGTTAGGCATGGCTAAGAGACCTTACTTAAAAATCTGTCCAAAATCACTGGACACTCCATCTTTCCATCTAACTGGAAGACAGTTTCCAAAAATTTACATTGATGGAAAAGGTAATAAAAGTAGGAGAAGATGCATCGTGTGCGCTAAAACCAAGGAAAAGCAAAAGCAAACGACGTATTTTGAGTGCGAAATATGCAATGTAGGACTGTGTTTCAATCCTTGTTTTGAATTATTTCACACACAGCAGAATTTTTAAATTGGAATTTAATTACCTACAGGTCATTCTTGTTGGTTTTGTTTTGTTTTGTTTTGTTTATAGTACTTATATTTGTGTGTATAGTAATGATTTTAGTATTTTGCCTGTTTAATTTATTTCTATTAATGTGATATTTTTTATATTAACTAACACACATTAGAAACAAGTACATTAAATACACAACTTCAAAAATTGAAGTCATAATATCAAAATGCTGATATATATATATATATATATGTAAAATTCAAAATACAAAATACAAAATAAAATTTTGTAAAATTCAGCTTAACTGCTGAAAACGCATGGGCCGGTAGCGATGATCCATTTCAGCGGGTCCGGTCCCGTGACTGCGCTTTGTTCTCCTGATGCTGGTCCTTAAGATGTTAAATGCAAAGGAGTATGATGCTTGCACTTTTAATAATACTGCATTGAAATGCAACCTCAGAGGGGGAAAAAAGATGTTATTGAAAAGAATCAGATTGTAGTTAGACATGATTACATTACCTTGTATAATTTCAGAAACAAATCTTTTAATTAGCTTATTTTTGCTAAATTTTCCTTCCTAATGAGAGCGTGTTCAGCCCTTTATTATTTTATTAGCCTTTTATTTCTTTTACTTTTTGTTTTATTTTATTTAAATGTTTATAAAAATGTTTCATGGCTTGAATATTGATATTGTTTATTTTTTTATTTATTTGAATTTCCATTTGAAGATTTTAAAAAATATTATATATATTCTTGTAATATACATATAGATAATGCATAGATTAAGATGTTAAAAAAGTCATTTAATAGGATTTTTTATTATTATTATATAAATCAATATGCATTTAAAGGTTCTCACTTTTTAGAAAATGTTCTGATAATTTTATTGTCTCTTTTAATTCTAGTTGAAACTCTGGTTTCTTATTTGCCACTCCTGTATGCTGAAAAACTTCTGAGATTTGTGGTTGATCAGCTTGAAGTTAGCCCCCATTTCGAATTCTATGTTATGTGGATCCAGTATATTTTGACAGCACATGGAACAAATTTGAAAAACCATGCTGGATCCAAAAGCACTTTACGTGCTATGCAGAAAAATTTAAGTAGGCGAGCAGAAGAACTGGAAAAAGTGTAAGCATTTTCTTCTTAATATTAAACATTTTTTGGTTCTTTGTTTTTATTTTATTAGATTGTTCCTTATTAGCTTCGCGGTTCATACGGTAAGTACTTAAAAATCCTTAATTTCAACCAAAACCCACAAAATATCCTTAATTTTTCTCATCTGACATTTCTGTCTGTCTTTTTACAACTACCATTCTGAATGTGAATTAATATTTTGGAGGAATATTTTTAATGATGCATTGAGAAATATGTATTTGATGTGTTAATGTTTGAATTCTTTGCTTCTTAATGTAAATGGTGGATACTTGAGTTTTAGGCTTGAGGTCCTGCTTCGAATAAAACATAAACATTTCAAAATAATTTCTTTTTTATGAAGGAAAAGAGTTCATAAAATATTGCATCAAAACAGCTTTTCCCTTTTGAGGATATGAGATCTATTAGTATGCAGTGCTAAATTTGGTAGCTTATCAATATCAATTTTTATTGATTTTTTCTGGTTTTATCATAGTCTTTTCTAAAGAGCGTGCTGTATTCAAAAAGTATAACCTGCTATTCCTGTCATTTATTTCTCCCCCCATCTCTTCCTCCAGATTCCTGTTTTATGCTAGAACAGTGCTCCATAGTTTGAAAATGACTGAAAGCTTTACTATATAAATGAATATTTAAATATTTTTCTTTTATTAACAAATTAAACTTTGTAATTAAAATTACTGAAATTATGCTTTCAGATCTTGAATGCATTTAAGCACAAGTGTAATACACTAATATTTTTATTCAAGCATGAATAATTTAAGGTATCAACTACTGAAAGCATGTAAAATATACTTTCAGATATTCTTCAATCTGTGTTGAAAACTATTTAAAAAAATCTTAAAATTTGTATGATTTTGGCTTTGTAAATTAAAATGTGATATTTAGGTACGTAATTAAAATATTAATTATATAGTGCTTTTCGATTTCAGATGCAGTACTTTCAAGTATATGTTAGAATATATATTAGCTGTTAGCAAGGTGAAGAAACGGAGCATAGAATCTGTGGAGAATGACACTGTAGATATTTTAATGAGGAATGAAGAATCATCAGCTTCAGATTCGTCTGCTGAAGAATCAAATGTAGAAACATGACAGATATATTTTAAGAATTAAATAAGAAATAAACTGTATATACTTTTATTAGTAGTAAAATGTAAATTTTTTTAAAAAATGGACTATAACTTTATTTTAATAAAGCATTTATTATAAATATTAGAAATTTTTAATACTATTGGCTGCTTCCATTGGAAATATGCATAATGATTTTAATGTGTCAAGCTAGTGTCATTTCATGGGTCCAGCTGGTAATAATAATTAAAATGCAGACCTGGTCTTATTGCTTTTAAATCCCTTAGTTCGTTAATCAGTAACAGGCAGATTCAATTCCAATAAATAAAAGTATTATTTATTCTAATCAAAAATTAAATATTCTAAGCTTTTGTGAAATGGAAACACAGTGGCATGCAGAAGATAAAAATATTTTACTTTAGATAGTGGTAACCTCTAAATCCTTTTTGTGTTTGTTGATTAAATTTGGAAAATACTTTGACAAGTAGCAAAACATTGCTTTTAAATCACTGAGTTTGTTAGCAAAAATTTTGCTAAGTTCACACAAGACATAAAAATAAATAAAAGTAAAAAATAGCAAATTTGAAATTCAAAGTCTTGGCTTCAGGGGGCACATAACCAGGTGGAGAGCAATAAATCTGAAAGTTTGGTGGTTCTAGGCATCTACATTTTTCTAGTGCGAAGAATGTACATATATGCATGCAGTCCCTTCTTTATTTCATAATAGAGATTAAAGTGAGCAAAATGGATTTTATATTTGTGATTAAAAATTATAATGAAATCATTTGTGAAAAATTTAAAAAAGATGAAAATTAAAACATTCACGATGAAGATTTTAGGGTTGAAGGTTTTTCGTAACACTCATGATTTATTTTCTTGTTACACTGATTTCCTACAAACTCATTAAACTGCCCAAGAAGTAAATTCTGAGTTCTAAAAGAGCATGTGGTACTGTTTTGAAATTTTGAAGGAGAACAGAAAAAAGTTCCTTTGTCACTGTGAAGTAGTAAGATCTGGGATAAGTGAATCACTTGCCTTAAGTAAAAGTAAGAAAAGATGAAAAATTAAAATAATAAATTGTGTATGACAGATATTATGGGACATATTTGAGACTTGTCTAATTTGCTAAAATCTGCGCATACAGCTTTTTCGTAGCAGATATTACCAGTCCAGTAATATCTGCTATGAAAATTGAAGTAGTAAATGTTTCTTAGAAAAATAATTACCTAATATGTACATAGATTCAGTAAAATACAGTACAATCCCGATTATCCGAGTTTTGATTAATCGAGGTTCAGTGCTACCCGAACCCGATGAAATAAATAAAAATAGTCCTTAAAACAATTGTTCAAAAGGTAAACAATCTGTTCTAGCAGTGATTCGAACCATAATGATAAATGTAAAGAGTTTTCCAATAAAAGCCCACTGGAGACAATGCACATGACAAAAGCCTACAAAAATAACCCCACTGTGATAATTAATGGATGAAAAAGCCCACTTGAACAAAAAGATGTGGTTTTTATTAGCATAAAATGTATTTCTAATTGCAGGCTTGCCATGCTACCTGGAAAACCAGAAACAGTCAGGAAATTTTAAAATTGATAAAAAAAGTCAGAGAATTTAATACGGCAATCCCCTCCCCCCCTTGAAAAAAAAGAGAGTTTTGCTCTGACATTGGAAACGATCACTTTCCTTGTGACTTATGGATCGTGTAAGCGTCATTCGGGCAGCTGGCATAGCTAATGGCTGGCCAATTTTTGCAACTCTAATTAGATGGTCTTTCAGAAAGGCAAAGCAAGTTTCCAGCAACCTCGAGAATCGAGAGACTTTTTGGTGTTGCCACAATTTTCAACATCATGCCAAAGCCTTAGCATATACTGGAATTTTACTGCAAAATCTTTTACCTTTTTTTTCTTTTTAATTAATGCCTTATTTGTCATTTTGCAGTAAAATAAAAAATAGTAATCAGTCATCTAGGCTAACCATTTAATATAACTATATAAGCTAAAATATCGTTGATTATTTTAATTCAATTTTTAAGTAATTTTCTTTATTTTTATGTTATTCATATCATTTAATGTTGCTTCTTCCCAGTAAGTTCATTAATTATTACTAAATAATACTTTCAGATTTCAGAAAATTTTTTCTGGCATAATTCTAAAACTAGTTAATTCTAGGAGTATGATGACACCATCACGAAACTGAAATAGATTTCTTTTGTTTAGCTGCAAAATGTCTGCAGAAAAAGATATTTTTTAATACAGATACAGTTCTCAATTACCGAGCTGAAAACCTTGTCTGCTCCACTCATTAATGAACTCATATGATCTTCTCTTTGTGACCTAAGAAATTCTTTATGATCTTGTGATATGCTAGTCATGTCCATCACATTTTGCCGAAAAATGTCAAACATCTCGACGAGATCACCTTTCCAAATTTGCTGTTTCGCATTTGCTTTCTCCGTCCTTCTCGATTTTTCTTCACTCAGATTTTGGTATTCTTTAAACAGCTTCTGCACACCAGCAGGGATATTCTTTTTTTGTCCTAACATGCATATTTGCTTTCCTCCACACTTCCTGTAGTTTAGTACAGGTAGATTTAGCAGCATCCGAAAGTGTTCCTGTCATTTCCTTCTGACAATAAATAAAACTAAAAGTACTTGTTCCTTTGAAGGTAGCCAAGCTTGTAAAATCTCACCACTAGGCACCTTTTATAGCAGGCAAATTTCTCATTTGATTCACATTTTAAAGTTTAATTACCTGCAAAAGATGAAAGAAATGCATGAGAACCCGATTAGTACAGAGTACTTCAGTATTAGAAATTTCATTAGCTTAAGATAAAACTGATCAATGTGTACAATCTGAAGAGCTATTGTTGAAACAGTTCTAAAACGCTTAGTAATCCCCAATAGAGCGATTATTTTGAATTTGCAAAATTTTGTTTTGCATTCGGACCAGTCCAGTCCACTATGCACCACATGCATACAAGATGTTTCTCTCTGTAGCTCTTTTATATAGACTCTTAAGAACTTTACCTTGGAGATTCATTTTACTAAGTATATTATTATGAATAAGTTTGCATTCAATCTTTATTTGATCTAGGTGAGGTATAAAAGTAAGCTTTTCATCTGTCGTTATGCCAAAATATTTGATTGTCTTAGAAACTCTAATTGCTAATTCAGAAGTCAAACAACAAAAATCAGCATTATATTTTTAAAAATTATTATTATTGTTATTGTGTCTTAAACTCTAATTGGTTGTTCATACAGTTTGCACCTAGGATGTATTGGTCTAGTATTAGTTTTAGTATTGATCTGGTATTAGTTATTAGTTTTTCGCAATACACAAAAGAAAGCTCTTCTTTGGATCAAATTTAACATGGAAAAACTATTCCTTGATTCTTGATGGTGAAACTTAAAGCTTTATCAGTAGTAAAATGACCCCTTATCGTGGCCAGTAAAACGAAATCATCAACATAAGCTTGATACTAATATTTTATGGTAATTTCTGTGATGCCACTTATTATCATCATATAAGGAAACTTTTCTTTCATTCAGAAAATCACGTATCAGTAAGATGTTTCTTGGACATTTCATGGCTTTTAACTCTTTTAATAAAATTAGCCACCAAACGTTGTTTGAAAGTGCTCTTTACATCTAAGGATAAATTGCAGTATGTTTGCCATTACTTCTGTTTCAAAGGATGCCAGAAATTAAATTATCTATAGCCTAGCTAGTACTTTTACATGGCATAAAACCAAACTGATTTTTATTTAGAAGATTATTTGATAATAAATAATATTGTTACCGTTGTGTCATGAGTTTATCTAGCACCTTGCCCCAGGAAGGCAATAAACAAATGGGGCAAAAAGAGGAAGGATCTTCTTTATCCTTTCTTTCTTTGTTGAACAAAACTAAATCACCCTCTTCCCAACATTCAGGAAATATTCGCCTCCGAAGGCATTCATTCAGGATAGCTACAAAGAACTTTTTATTACATTCAAAGATTTCTAAAATAATTTCCATTGTCCAGCCATCTCTACCAGGAGCTTTACCTTTATTTAACTTTTTAAGAGTGAACTGTACTTCATCCAAAGTAAAATCGTAATCATTTACTGTCTCTGGAGGTATCTTACAATCTGATGTAACTTGGAAGCTGATTTATATGTATTAAGAGCAATATAGTAAGGAATGCCAAATGGTTGATGAATATTCAAAGTGTCAGATAGTTGCTCCCAAGCACGAGTTCTCATACTTTGAACACTTAAAACATTGAGTTACTTTAAGAAATTCTTTAATTCTAAGACAAAACCATCTTATGTTAAATTTTCTGTATTTCTTACCATCTACTTTGGTCACCAATGTACTTTATTATTTGTACCTTTTATCGAAAATTTTAAGTGAAAACCACAATTTTCAAAGGTCATGTTTTGGTCTCTAATCATAATCTTAAGGTCATCTCGAGAAAATCAGAATCTTCATCAAAAATAATAATTTTTGGGCCATTCTTAACAGGAAGTTGAATTACTGTATTATTTTTAAGTAAATCATTTGTTTTACCTCCGTTTCCAAGGCTTCAACATCACAGGATTTAGAACATTCTATTAGAACACCTCCTTTATTAACTTTCCTTAATCTTCTAACACCAGTGTATAATTGGGTGCGATTAATTGAGTTTACAATTTTGTTTTTGACCTCCTCGGAGGTAGTTCCTTTTTTGGATAGGGTAGAATTGTAAAATCTTTGGACCTACTTCTACTAGTAGATCTCTCTCGTTTATTCTGTATCATTTTCTGAGGAAAATGTTTCGGATCTGCCACTGTTTGCAAATGAAAATAGCTGAAGATTCGACAACATTTCTGTTTGCTCTTCAAGCCTTCGCTAAGGATTTCATTATCAAAAGTTCGTGTGACCATTAAATCATAAATTTGATGTGCCATAGAAATAATTTTTCCTTTTAGGATATTTGAGACTCTACTCGAGTCTTCGAATGCAGTTTCTAAAGAACTTAAAATTGCGCTTCCATCTGCTAATAAAGCAGTAGAGTCAACAGACTGTGAATTTCTTGACATATTTGTAAAGCCATTGTCCAACCCTGGGGTTCACGCTGGCTGGAACAACCTTCAGCGTTTAGACTACTTCCC